TCAAAAACTCCAGCAGCACTGCTGTGTCTGATCCACTCATACCAGCACAACACACACTAACACACCACCACCATGTCAGTGTTACTGCAGTGCTGAGAATGATCCACCACCCAAATAGTACCTGCTCTGTGAGGGTCCATGGGGAGTCCTGACCACTGAAGAACAGGGTAAAAGGTGGCTAACAAAGTATGCAGAGAAACAGATGGACTACAGTCTGTAATTGTAGAACTACAAAGTGCACCTATATAGTAAGTGGAGCTGATAAAATGGACAATGAGCGCAGAAACAAGGAGGTGGTCATAATGTTATTCCTGATTGGTGTATGTACTACAGCTTCAGTGGGCGGACATCAGAAAATTCAGCTGGCTGTAGCTTCCATATACTTTTTTAAACTCTTTATATAAAATACTTTTAAAATTGTTTTTTTTTTGTGATATGGGCCCTTTAAGTGCTTACTAGGACAAAGGTAAACCATACCTAGCAGGATAAAATCAGGAATGTTAATAGTATAAATGGTCTAAAAAAGTAAGCTACACTCAACTTCTAGAAACTAATCAACACCACTTTTTAGCTCAGTCCTTCCTGTTATTATCTCAAGCTCAACTGCATTTTTGTTTCTGCTGCTACACATCCGGCATGGAAGTAGATTCAACAGGCCGGAGCAGGCCTTCCTATTTAATCACCGATTCCAGCGCAGGCAGATGCATTCAGGGAAAATACCATTGCCTCAAGACATTAAGGCTAATGTGGTGATGGTTAGCATAGAGGTAAAGGCATGTTCTCTGTGTGTGTGTGTGTGTGTGTCTCTCTCACACACATGAGGTTCGCAGGTGTTGGGGGGCCAAAGAGAGACACGAGGAAAGAGCAAGTCTCTTACTGACAGTTACATGAAGGGGTTTAGAAATGCTTGGCCTGTTAAATTCTTGTCTCCTTGATTTATCTGGAACTATACCTCCTTGTCTTTGCCTGCAGGAAGTAAATAAACACTTCATTATGCTGTTCTGGAACTGGGATTCACCTTTGAACATCAAGGAGGAAGTTCAGCTGTGAGCAGAGATAAGGGACAAGAATAATTTACTTAAGAACTTCATGTACCAGAACCATTAACGTTACATCCTGAAGGAACTGTAGGTTCCTCAAAACAAGCATGAAAACGAGCAAAAGTGAAGCACACGGACTGATAAGTAAGAACACATTGCTAGGCTCTGGCCTGTGATCTAAAGGACACTGGCGTGGTCATGCATGCAAGCAGTTGAGTCATTTTTCATGCTGAGAACATTTTTGAAGTCTTCTTTTGAAATTGTAACTGTAGAGCTCATGACTGACATCACGTATTTTTCTAGTTAATCGTCCTTGTAAAGTTGTGATACTTGAATGCTGACTCCACTATTTGGTATAGCCCAGAAGAGTTTTTGGGACATTTTCTGTTGGAAAAAGCTCTATTATCAGTTTATCTTGCGCTTATACCAGGGGTCGGCAACCCAAATGTTAAGAAGAGCTCTTTGTCCTTTTAACAAAAATAAATCCACCTTAAGAGCCACTACATCTTATGTCCATTTTATTGAAGCAGCGTTTCACCATCTTGACTGTAAAGATCTCAGTATGTGCCGATGTACTAGTACAGGCTAACAAATATAAACAAAAATCCAGACTTACTTTGCTCTGCTTTAAGCTTTAGCTCAACCATAGCTGCCTTTCTCAGGTCTCAGGCAGGACACTTTTCTGCAAAAGTAGAACAATTTCTTGTAAAATGTCTCTTAACATTCAAGTTTTTACGAGGCTGAAGTCGCTTCTCATTCTCCAGCTTCTTGCTCGACTTTTCTCATTCCACTTTAAATGGTGCCTGAGGTGCCTGGAGGCCTTTCTTGTTTAAGCTTTCTTTTTGTCTTTTAAGCAGTTTTGGGGCAATTTATTTTTAGCCCTCTTATTCTTCTTTCTGTCATTTTGGGGCAATTTCTCTTTTTTTCAGCCCCTTTTTTTTATTGGCTAACCCACCTGGGCTAAGTACCATACTGGTCACCCCTCTACAAAGGTGTGACAAAGGGCTGCTCTTTGCCACGGCTTTAAGTAGAGGAGTCCACAGGTGTGCCAGGTTGGGCCTAATCAGCCCGAGGGCTTCTGGGAATTGAAGTTCCCTGAACTGGTGGCGCCTCGCCACTGTCGCCCTCTGCTGACAGCCGGCGGCACAGACTGGACCCTACAGTAGGTTTTTAAAACCACCAAAGATGGAGACCCAAGTCAGCTCAAGTAGCATGTTGAGTTGACTCAATAGGGATGCATGCTTAACTGACTCGCACTTAACTGACTCTTTACTCGACTCGAGACTTAAGAAACGCAAAATTTCAGCCAGATTAAAAAAAAAACACACACACAAAATTGACCAATAAACCAATAAAACTTTTGTTTGTAATCTTACATGTGTGATTTTGCCTTTCAGGTTCACTCTTTAAAAGGTGGTTTTTCAAGGGTTTATTAGTAAAGACTCAAAGAATCATTTGCATGTTTAAACGGTTCTTTGCATGGTGAAATGATTCTTCAGATTGATGGAGAATGTGTTGTACATGGTTCTTTATAACCAAAAAAAGGGCTATGCTATTATTATAATGTCAATCTTTTTGGTGCTATGTAGAACCATTTTCATATCTTAGAGTGTTTATGGTTCTATTTAGCACCATTGTTGTTCCTAAAGAACACTTGAAGAAGCATCTTTATTAAAAGTGTACTCAGTGTTAATGTTTGAGGGCAATGCATTATGGCTACTGTAGCGGGTTAATCTTATTACCTTGGCAACAGTAGTCACTGCAGCGATGCAATTTATTTGTTGTTTGTTTAATAAATGAGCAATAAATGCCAAATACTTCACAGGCATTCCACTTTAATTCATCCTTACTCTGGCCCTGGAGCTATTTACAGGGAAAGTGATCTGGAGGCAGAAATCAGGGAAGGAAAACAGCAATAATACAGTAATACTAGTCTCCTCAACACTCGGCAGTGGCGTCAGGTTCACTACAGTAATATTACTAAAGTAATATTATGAGAACCTTCAGACAGTGCGAAGCACTACATGCAATAAATGCAGTGTTTAAAGTGGCAAAACTAGCAATAGCTAATTTAGTTTTTTCTAATTCTTTCAAAACGTATTAAAACTTCCACTGGATTAGCTTTTACACTAGCTAGCATACTTATAACCTACAGACTAACCAACTGTTTCAAGTTGTTTTGCCTGTTTATCTGAAGCACAGTATTTACTCCGGCTAGCACTTCAGATCTGGATGCTTTTCTGGAATTAAGGTCTCGTTATTTAAAGCCGTGTCAAAACTAACATGTGCTACTTATAATGAGACTGAATTTCTCTACTAAATACTAGAGACTCCACTCAGATTTGCACCTCAATTCAGACTCTCATAAAGCCGCTTGTGAACATCTCTACTGTGAACACTTACTGGCCACTTTACTAGAATCCCCTATCTTGTTTTGCACTTTGGCTAGAGGCTATGGCTCGTTTTCTTTTTCACGTAAAATTTGTCTTAGTCATTCTCTGGAGCTTCATCAGGACCATTACAGGCAACAGTCTGTAGCTGTAAACCCACAGCATGCAACTATATGGTTGGTGTTTCTGATAAAATGGCCAGTGAGTGTAGCTGCATGGTAGGTGTACCCAACTCCAGCTGAATCTTGTTGTTTGTAGGTTCACTTCCTTGTGAATGAACGTTACTGGGCCTCCCCAGTTCTGTTTCCTGTGTCATGTTTCAGCATGTGTCCATATTCAAATCTTGCTTTGGCAACTGTCTGATAAGGTAAAGCCCCATCTGCAGGTGGCAGCTTTACAGGGCCCATTTCATAAAAACCAAATTTTCCTCACTTTTGTTAAATAATTGTAATAAATGTAGTCGTCCATGTGGTCCATTTTTTAAGAGACATGAGCTGTAAAAACACCCCGTTTTGAATTTGTTTATGTGATGTCATAAAAGCCAATACATTTACACATATCTACCAATTCTGACTACAGTAGCTTAGCTCCACCCATTCACTTTGAAGTTATTATGTGTGTTTTTGATTAATAGGGGACCTATTATGCTCAAAATTTCATTTTTGAGGTCTACTAGAATAGATTTACATGCTTCAATGTACCAAAAACACATTATTTTCTCATACTGTACATTCTATTCAACCTCTGTCTGAAATGCTGTTAGAGCTCCGGTGTCTTTAAGCCCCATCTCCCAATGAGCCTAGTGTGCTCTGATTGGTCACCTCGACCACTTTGTTCTGAATTGGTCAATCTCCAGAGCAGCTCCACCCTTATCACGTTCCGCCCCTGTCCTGCAGTCAGCAGACAGACCCTTCTCTCCTGAGCAGCTGTAAACTCCGCTGTGGCTGTTTTTCCAGCGGCGGTGGTTCTGCGGTATCACTTTAAACCAGAATCCGATCATGAAAGTCTGGTAAGCGTCTTCTCCACACGGCTACAACACTTAACAAACTCTTCCTGGCCTCCAACAGCTGCTGTGCGCTGTGTGAGAGTGTGCCAAGCTTGCTGGTAGGCAGGCAGAAAGGAAAAGGGCTGGCGTTTCAGGCAGCTGAGAAAAGTGGTTTCTGTAAGAGACAGTTATTCCCTCTGGCGTTCACTTTGAGCTTTGTAACTTTGCAGATCGTTCACATGCATAAAAAGCTACATAACACACTAAAGGGAATGGAAAAACCAGAAAAGCATAATAGGCCTCCTTTAATTAAGGCGCAATTCACAGCCCCCAAACAGAACAGAGGCTATTAACATAAATCAGTAAGTAAGGCATGGTAACAAAAACAGCCTGAAAAATGTAGGATAAGGACCTTTCAATGTAAAAATGTAAACATTCACTACTGGTCCAATTGCCTCTTTTGCCACATTTACTGAAGCTAGCTGTATGCAATATTTTAAATTTCTACTGCTACTTGCGTACATTGAAAATATGTATGGAATTACATTACTTGGATAGAAAATAAACAGCATTTTGGACAATATATTACAAAGCCATATGAAAAACAACTTTATTAAGGCAATTTCAAGTTCAGTACATTGACGCCTTACAGAGCATTCATACATTTCAATCACTCCAGTATAAAAGAAGAAAGAAGAGTGATGGCTTTCCACATATATAAAGCAATAAACAAAAACACTCACTGTTTCTCTTGTTCACAATATCACACAATATGGAACAACAGGAGGCAAAAATCTTTGGTTTATTTCCAGGTGCATATCAGATATTATAATGCACTTCTGGTGAAGTTTTCCCTATTTTGCGTTTGCCAACATCTATTTTCTCACATGACTTGAGAAAAATGACAAATTTGAACAAAACAATGAGTATAAGAGATATATCATGACATTTTTTCACATGCGCAGTTCAACCTCTGACAGTTCCAAGGCTCTCTATCTGTGAAACATTTAAAAAATGTTTGCAAAAGATTTCCACTAAAACACACTCGTCAGCATCTGTTCACTCAAAAATATTAAACGATACACTCATAACTCCATACACCAAAAACAGCAATGACAGTAACCTAAACAACACCTACAATAATTCTAATAATAATAACAGAAGCGGAATAGCCAAGGCCGTGTTAGTTTCTGATGTCTGTATATAAGGCCCCTCCGTTAACCGAGCCATGCTCTGCCCACAAACACATTCTTTCATAGCATGTTGCTAGGCTGGTCAAACAAAAATCCCATTCAAAATAAGAAACTGTAGCATTTTGTCAAAAATGTGTTATTAATTTCAGAAATTTTGTTTGCGAGTGAAAGGTTACATTAATACATGCAATGTGTGAAATCAACATAACGTTAGCAAGGTGGCAAATTCGTTGTTGTTTCCAATTTGCCTAGTTTTGATTAGCGTCAGCAAAAAGTCCAGCTCGGTAGCGTAGCATTTTAATTGTAAACTCAATGTTAATATTGATATGTTCATTAATTAAATCCATGGGTAATTTAAAGCATCATATTCAATATATCTAGGGCAGTTTTCAGTTGTGCCAGAGGGGGCGACAAAGGCCAAGTTTTACAGACAACAACAAAAAAAAGTTGTTTTGAGTCAAACTAGTCAAAGAATGATAAGTCTGTCGCAGTTATTTTTCAGCGTGTTAGAAATCGTATCTGTTTTTTCCATCTTTAAAAAGTCGACTGTATGGAAAGACATCGCAACGACTTAGCATTAAGCTAACATTAAGAATGAAAAACTCTGTTTCTGATTGTGTTTTACACCCATGTGACACACAGGTAAATAGAGTAAAACCAGGACTGGAGTTTCAGATTAAGGATCAGAGCGCAGAGTGCCCTCATCGATAATGACCGATAAATTGACAACTTGGCGCCCCACAGGACAAATCTAAGCTTTAACCTATTTTCATTAGAGTGAATGGGATTTTCACCAACCTTGCAACAGCATCTACAAAAGAACGTGTGTGGACTTGGTCAGTTCCTTAAGAATTCCAGGTTGAGTCAAATACTGCTTGATATGTCATTAGACAATCACGTCCTTAACCTTACAGATTTGGGTTGATATAAAGACAGTGAAAACCTTTCTGAATGAGCGCAGACAACCCTGACAGAGTAAATGGTCCATGAAACTAAGACACACACACACTCAAAAGTCATCTCTCTCTCTATTATTAACTGCTACATCTCTTTCTGTGCACTATGTACACACGGCTAGAGTGACTGGGACTTCCACCTATATTTCACAATACCTGTATAATTAAATGGTTGAGATGTAAACAAAGCCACTCAGAGTGGTTTGGTGTGAAATCGTTCACATCAGAGTTGTTCACAGTGGTGGTGATAGGGAACCGGACATCCACCTCTAAAAGCTCCCTCACAAAAAGTTACTACGTGTAATGATTATGAATACCCAGTCTAATTCCTGAGACATTATTTTATGATAATTTTGAGAACGTTTTGACCTAAAACCTATTTTTTGCATCCATTCAAAGCAGAGAGGTACAGAGAGGGCGTTGTGAGGCAAAACAGTCCCCAAAGAAAACTTATTTTTTCAGATTCACCACTATTTCACCATCATTAACATCACATAAAAAACTCAGAGGACACGTGTAGGTTCAGTGGTTGTTTTGGATAGTAAATCAAATGGCTATATTTGCTTTGTAGACGTTGCAACCCCTGGTTCCTGTAAACCACCACTGTAAATGAATCAGAGTTGAATCATTTAATATTAAACCACTCTGAATGGCATTGTCTACATATCAGCCACTGCATTATGCAACATTTATTAAAAAGCGGTGAAATTCCCTTTCAAAGCAGAGTAGTGCTTGTGTGAACTGTGAGATTTGAAGAGGTATTGGCCTTTTGTTTTGATGCAAGGCTGCTGTACTTACTGATACAGTAAAACAAAGAAAGATCTAATTCATATTTACAAAAGGACACGGGAGCAATGGGAGAAAAAAAAGTGCCTCGTTGGGGCTCACCAACTTTCACCAAGAATGAATAAGTTAAACATCAAACGAACGAGATACGTCCAAGAAAACGAACAAATAATGATGCACTCATAAACATGGCCCTGACATTACAATCCACACCAACTGGCAGAATGCACCACACAGTTACTGGGCATAAAATTGAGTAAATCTGTTGAATGGATCGTCACCAGACATGAATAACAAACATGAATACTCTTCACGGCTGGATATCATGAGCGGGTATACACGTAAGTATGACACGCGAAGACCTACGGATCTGTCCTGTTAAATTTCTTCAGTTATTTCCTGAAAACACACAGAGTGCAGTGCTGAGTAAATGTCATTGAAGCCACACAAAATACTAAAAGTGCTACTGACACCAATTTGTGCTCGCTTGAAAGCACACAATGCGAACACAAAGTAAAAGTAGCTAAAAAAACACTTGTTAATTGAAAAAAAAAAACACGTCGACAAAGTCCAATCGACTTTTGCTTACAACGTCCCATGCAAGTCAATGCCCTCTCAGAGGCTCCACACACCATACATCCACCTAGCATACCATTCACCCATTCACAAAAATCAACACGAACACCATACGCTGTAATAAAATAGCAAAATGACAATAAAATAAGGAGAGTAATATAATAACAAAAATAATCATAGTAAAAAGAACAAATGGAGGCATTTGCCTGATAGTGGAGGACCCCCATAAAGAGGGAGGGGTCCTGGGTCACAGGTCAAAGACACCAGAGAGGCTAACCCTGTTAGCGAGTTTGTCATGGCCTCTCTGACAGTTGTGGCGTGTGTATACACTGATGTTATCAGTAAGCTGTGTTTGGATTTGTTACGTTATTGGTGTGGAAGTGTGAGGATGTAATTAGCATAGATTCAGATAAATAATACATTATTTTTCAGAAAAAGCTACGTATGGAGCTGGATGCTGTGCAGTAATGGGTTTGACAAGCGGGTCTGCTCGAACTCCAGCCCGTGGTCAGCCTGGAGAGCCTGTAGGGACACACAGGTGCTACCATCGGCTCAGCTTATCTCATCCCTGCAGTAAGGCCTGTGTTTGTGTGCATGAGTGTGTGTGTGTGTGTGTGTGTGTGTGTGTGGGAGAGGCAGGGGTTTAGGTTTGGTGTCATGTGTGGTAGAACTTTTCGTTGTAGCGGTGGATGGTGACACAGCCGTGGTAGGCGATGGGCCGGGGCATTGCCGCCACACCAGTGATGATGCCGGTGGAAGGATCGTAGCACAGGATGGTGTCCGACGCCTCTCCACTTTCACCTCGACCTCCCAGGATAAATATCTTCCCGTTACACACAGACATGCCACAGCTCTCCTACACAGAGAGAGAGAAGGACAGAAAAGACATTGCATAAATTGGAAATCACAATGCATTTTAGATGCTGAGAAATTAGTGAATTCATAACTCTAATACTGTAATATGTTACTGATGGGTTGCCTGGCTGTCTCATTAATAGACTTCAACTACCACAGAATGCAGCAGTCTATGTGCTTATCAGGAGAAAAAGTTTAAGCATATTAATGTGGTTTTATTCAGTTTATACTGTTCTGCATTGACTTCAAGGTCTTGCTTATGACATTTAAAGCTCTTAAAGTCCTAATTCCAGCATATCTTACTGATCTGTTGAAGCATTATAGCCCGTCCAGCCACTTCACTCAGGATCTCTTACAGCCCAGTTGGTGGACTTTGTTCCTTATACAGCTCCCAAACTTAATTTTGTCTTTTAAATTATGTGAAATGGTGAATCGTGCTTAATACGACCAGGCATATGTACTAACAAGAAAAACTCATTTTTGATTTCAGGTTGACTTTAGGACAGCGACAACTGTAAGTAACTGAAAAGCGGCTAGCACCACTGCCTGACACACAAAAGACAGAAGGTTTTACTCCTTGACCAGGCAAGAACACTACTGTTATAACAAAAATAGGACTTGGCTACATTCATCTACCATCTAGATAAGAAAGTCTAGATAAGAGTGTATGCTAAATATGAAAATGTAAATGTATGCAATAACAGAGAGAAAGACAAAAGCAGAGCATACAGAGGTGACTATATTATTAAAACCAATAACTTCTTGAGGGCACATGAGCTGCAGGAATTGTGTCTACTTCAAGTGTACATGGTGAAAGTGTCTTGACTTCAGTGTCTTCTAGGCTTCGGGCAAAGGTAGTATGGCCTCTTCTACACTAGTCTTCTACACTAAAATGACCTAGCTAGCTTCTGTGTCTTCTAGACTTTGGCTATTGCAATCTAGGTAGTTTCAATCAAACGTCTGATCAATCAGAGCTTCATTGCTATGGTTGCAGTCCAAGGCCTGAAAGCTCCGGTCAGGCCTCCAAACACGGAATGACGGTGAATACGTTGGTACAATATAGCGACTGTTCATAGCCTCTTTTGTTGTTGTTTATGAGCATTTAAAAACCACATTAGCCTTCATGTGAAGGTTATACAACGTAAAATCATTGTTTTTGGGCGTGAATAGGCCTTTAATGTTATTTTAATAGTATAAGTCTAGTGTATGCATAGTATGCTACACCAGAAGAACATGATTAACCATTGTTTTATTTCATTTAAACTGGTTATCAACTAAAGAAAAGTACACAGAACACGAATGGAAAGCTCCCTGCACATCAACAAGCATTAATAAACTACACTTCAAACTGAGTCAAGTACCTGTTTACTGAAGGTGTGGACCACATGCATCCAGTAGTCCTCTGTGGGGTCGTAGCAGTAGATGGATTTGGTCAGGCCTCCGGACACGTAGATGAGGTTGCTGAGGGATACGGCTGTGATGCAGCGCTTAGCGATGGGGATGTTGGCCCTTAGCAACCAGCTGTCTGACTCCGGGTCATAACACTGGACCTGAAAGAGGACAGATATGATGACTTTAATAAAAAAAAAAAAAAAAAAACACGTAATAATAACAGCTCTTCAAGGGTTCTTTAGTAAAGAAAGGGATCCAAAAAGGGTTCTTCTATTGTTACAAGCTTGACATCATCACAATAGCAGAACTCTTTTTGGTGCTATATAGAACCCTTTTCAAAAAGGTGCTATATAAACCATCTACAGCATATTCTCCATCAATCTGAAGAACCCTTTCATGATGCAAAAAACCCATTAATAATGCAAAGGGTTCTTTAGTGTTTTATATAGTGTCTATATAGAATTATTTTATTTAGTAAAGAACCCTTGAAGAGCCATCGTTTTTGAGAGTGTACTGTCATGTCTGTGTACTGACTCCAGAGGCCTCAAAGCTCTCCTGAAGATGCAGCTTTATGGGTTCTAGTGCTCCATTAACCTACTATGTCAAGCTTGAGACTTACATCAACCTGGAGCATTCTTAACGTTCCTGAGCTTCACCAAACATAACAAACGCAGCCACGGTTTCTATGTTAACCTAGATTGAGATACTCAAGCTGATCCTTGTGCACATGTGTATGAAAGTGGTGTTTATAATGAACAGCAACATGAGTCACAAGGAGGAGCCGAGAGGCTTGTTTTTCAGAGAAGAAACAAGAGATCATACTGTGCAAATATATGTAGAAACTAAAGCCTTTATAATGGTAAAAATCAGCGTTAGTATTTAATGGAGTAATGGTTGCCTTTAATTAAAAAAATGAATGTGTTCTTAATATCTATGCAATATGACTTGTCTCCTCTTCTTAAAAGCCATATTTTTGTGGTGTGACTGCCACCACAAATGTCACAAAGAAAAAAAACTAAGTACAAAATGAACCAGAGGGGTCAACCTCCAACAGAAGACGGTCCCTGAGTGGTCTGGAGCAGTGCACAGATTGGTTCATGATCTGAAATCCCAATCTTAACCTGGTAAAAGATGATCTACTGCTGTAATATTGAAAATCCAAGGTTAGACTGTACTAAGCTTGAGGTTAGCTGGCTGAGCAAGAAACCCTGCTCTGTGAAAAGGCCCCTGGTCCTCAATACAATACATGGTTTTCCTTCACCAATGAAACAGAACTAGAAACATATTTAACTCCTTAATCTGAAGGCCCTCAAGTGGGTCCACACTTCAGTTCCTGACTCTCATAACTATATTCATACACATTAGTTTCATAGTTGTCAAATAATTCATAGTAGTTACTAAGTAATAAGCCTTCGTAGCAGTTTAGAGCAATAGTTTACACAATTTTTCCATTAATCTAAATGTGTTGATCAGCTTAACATTTGGGCTAAGGGGAAAATTTTGCACCAAACTATTGCTGTAAGGGGTTAAAGAAGGTTCAGCCTGCTAAAAACACTGCCTGCTTGGGCTGGTGAAGATTACGAAGGGACCCAGTTGTTTATGGAATGAGACACACACACACACACAGCTGATAAAGAGGTGGGCCTTTGGTTCTATTTCCATCCTCATCCTTCACTGTGGTGGAATGGGCGAGTGGAGAGAGAGAAGCATGTTTGTGGAGGAGGGGAGCAGCTGGGGACAAAGGATAGCCTGAGGTCCAACGGCACAGAGAGCCAAGCAGCGCGGGAACATGACTGTAGCCATTTCAAACTCAAAACGGCCGCTCAACACGGCAACCCACTACACTCCAGCGTTTCCCTCCATCCAGACACGCTGAGCTGCGGCAACCAATCAGCACAGACCGACAGCAGTTAACCCCTTTAACCCTAGACTCAGTTATAATCTTATGATTTACTGTTCAGGAACTACTAGTGGTGTAACACTACACAAATTTCATGATATGTACTGAGGATACAGAAGTGAAAAATGCCAAAATTAAGTCTAATTGCCAAAACAAGACTGTAGCGGCTAGTAATGATTTTTAAATAAATGTATATATACACGGTGTAAATGATTGCCTTCTGTAGGCATGGGTGGTCTATACCTGAATAACTGCACTTTGGTGTAATACTTTATTATTATTTTGTAAGATCTGTACTTTACTTGAGTATAATTGAAGATGAACTTCTACTTTTTTTTTATAGATCCATTCAAACCTTCAAAATACTCGTTACAAATCTTAAAGGCCTTGAGATTTTCTCTTTTTCTCTTTCCAGTCAATTGAGTTTCTGTGCATTTTATTTTTTTGTTTTTATTAAAACATCCAGCCTAATTAATATAAGTGTAAAATGAAACTGAAAATGAATATGCCAATTTGTCTTTGTGTGACGACCATTACCACTGATCAGCGCCACCAAACAAAGAAAGCTTTTAATTTACCTGTTAACGCTTAAAAGCCCACAAAAAACCTGGCTATTTCTGCTGTTTAATCTCCATTAATAATGTGATTTCTTCGTGCTGTTGCATTTACTTGAAACATAAAGAACGTGATCCAACAAAAAATGGTACATTTTTATCTCACAAACTTACTGTTTAAACAAGAAAATACATGAATTAAATATATGTCACATATCAGCTGGATTTATTTGTTCCACTGATTAAATAAGACAGTAATAAGCACTTACTAAATCAAAATGAGCTCTGAATGAGCTTGCGTGCTCGCTTGGAAAGAAACACAGTGCATTCAATAATGCAGGCAGCCTCTTGCATCTTTTATACAGTGATGACCCAACAGCACACAGAAAACTCTAATTCTATTCACTAACACGTTTCATTCTGGCCAGAGTGGATGCACCGTAATACAACGAGTTTAAGGGAAATAACTTTAAATCTGAAAATTTCCAAATTCTCAAAAAAGATCAGCAGCAAGATTTAAAATGTTTGAATGTCAAAACTTTTCAAAGATTTTCCACACAGTAACCAAACTTTCAACTTAGTTCAGTTCACCTTTTACCTGGAGGGTGGAAGAAAAGGATCTCAAGAGTATTCCTCGCTCTCTGAGTTTAGGGAGAATCGAGAGTTTTTTTTAGTTCAGTTTTGAGGGCTCTCAGTTTAGTTCATCCTTATAAGCCTCCTCTCAAGGTTTCTTCCTGTTTCCCTAGGGAGTTTTTCCTTGCCACTGTCGCCACTGGCTTGCTCATGGGGGCTCGGACCCGGATTTCTTTTCTTTTTAATGCTCATTTCCTTGTAAAGCTGCTTTGTGACAACACCGGTTGTAAAAAGCGCTTTATAAATAAACTTTACTTACTTACTACTACTTACTTTAACTTCACATTGGCACACTGGTCTGGCAACACGGTGATTGAGGGTTCAATTCCCAGTCCCCTTGACCAGTCACTTTCCTTGTTTTCTGCTTTTCCCCCTTTACTTCATTCCTTGTCCAATTTGTTTTTCCCAGCTCTTAGTCTCTTTCATTTTTTTCTTCTGAGTTGCGTATTTCCCCCACTCCTCAGTTGCTTTGCGCTGGAGGCCATCCTCTCTTGTTCGCTAGGTGGTTCATCCCTGAGCGCTCCTGACTACTAACATAAGGGTCATGAGTTCGATTCTCGCTCAGGGCGAACCCCCTGGCATGTAACAATAACATTCCTAGTAACTACTAAATTATATATTCGTACCGTCAGAGCATTCCAACCATTAATACATGAACTGCAAGAAAAGAAAAGTAGTTATAAGAGTGAGAGGCCACAATGTGGACCCACACACAACCCCTTAGGGATTAAAGGGTTAACAGCGACGACTTCACCGCCTAAGACTTCCTCCATAGCAGGCAGTCACAGACTGGTGGCATGAAGATGCTCTGAATTCCAGCCGCTTGAACAAACAAACGGAAACCAAACATGCTAGATTCAGTGTCTGGGCAGCGTGGGTTTGTGGTTTCATATAGTCTAAACGCCACAAACACTTCTCTTGCAAAATCTCATAAATATTCGATACCACAAGGCTCTGTCTGTCTGCTGGAGTCAGACAAAAGCTCTGCTGTTGAAAGGTCATAAATCAACAATTAACCGCAGTGCATAGCTTTTGAATACTTATATGCCTATGAATACTTCATGCTTATGAAAAGCACAGTGATATGCTGGAGATTCTAATGGAAGTCACAGTTATTTTGTACAACAACAAAAGCACATAATTTAATATGAATTACTTCTCACTTCCAGCTTATTAACAAAACTGCAGATTCCAAACTTTCAAGCGATGCCACATTTCCTTGTTCATGTTCTTTCATGATTTGATTAAATAGATCGAAAGATATTATTGCGTTCAGTGCTGTTTTGCAGACGGACAAAACATTGTTCATGTTTTTCGCATTGAAATAATAATAATAAAAAAAAAACCAGTCAATAGAAAATGTACACTGAATGTAAACATCCTCTATCTTTTCGCCATCTGAACAGACTTCAGACTCCAACTAATTCATTAAAAACTGTGTAATTGATTGTATAATTTTATAATTACATTTATATTGTGGAGCGACAAGGATAACTCTACACTTCTAAGGGTTAAAGTCAGACACTAACTAAAAGACAGGATGTAGATTAGTATCGAAACAGCCTCAAGCCAAAACCAGGCGAACCGGATTTGAGACAAACTGTATCATCAGGGTCCCCACAAATATCTGTGTCTGGGCCCTGTGGAGCGCTTCTCTCCATGCAGTCACCTGGAGAACATATCAGCAGCGGCCTGACAGATCCAGGTCAGACTGAGCTTACAGCAGACCACCATTAGGGGGCAGCACCGAAGGCATTTGCTGAAACAGCCTGGCTGGGGCTTTTGTCTTGCTGGAGGCAAAGTCAGGCCTCAGCACACTGAGACAACATTATATCTCTGCAACGGAAAAACAAACAGTCTGGTGTCGCAGAACAATAGAGGGGAGCTGGCAAAGGCGCTTACAGTCCCAGCAGGTAACGCTGTTCTCCTGACAAACTGTCCACCAGTTTCCATGGTAGGAACAGTGAATATGTTCTCCACTACCATCTGCAAATGCCAGAACCATATATATCATCATACATGAAGTGCAGCTCTCTGGCACCTTGGAGTTACTGGTAACTAAGAAACTACTCAACAGTAGCATGCAGTGTCCCCAGATGACCGCCAGGAAGGACATTACGCATCAGAGACTTCTCTTTAGTCTCTAATCAATAAATGTTGCATACAGTATAAGAAAACTCATGGAATTAGGTGGTGACCAATAAAGCCACAAATAAATCAAACCGCATATTCTTTTATAGAAGGTCAGTGATGTACTGTGAATTTTTTGCATCCAAGTCCATTATTGTCCTATTGATTATAATGAATAAATAGAATTAATTAATAAATTATTATTGTTATTACTACAGTTTAATAAATACATGACACATCACATTATTCTACAGTACCTTCTTTATGTGAATACAATTTCAGGGCAATAAAATCTATTCATTTCACCCATTTTTGCTTCCTAGTCTAAAAATATCAGGTGGTGTCTCCATCCAACCATATATGCAGAAAAAACCTCTAGGAAAAAACATAAAAATGTTTTATTATTATAATAAAGTTTATTTATTTAAAAAGTATAACTTTCAAGGACAAAGGATTATACCTCTAAGGGGTCTAAGTACAAAACTAGTTTATACATGTTTTAGGTTGTCATACACAGTAATCATAAATAACTTTAAAATATATTATTTTTTTATTAATGTGTGGTTGCGCCACCTGACATTTTCTGGTTGGTAAAATTGATTATCCTGTTGATAAAAAGAACTTATACTATTATAAAAGCTAACACAATGAATAGATGCTTGCAAATTCAGAAATGCACATCATATCAATTTTAATAAGCTCATTTTAATGATCATTTTAAAAGCTTCGTACATCATTGACCCAAAAACAAATCTTCTATTTTTCATTATTCAAAGTAGCTCCCCTTTGCCTTGCTCACTCTTGGCACTGTATCTAGCAGCTTCATGAAGACCTGAGATGCTTTCCAACAGGGCTGAAGAAGCTCCACATATGCCTGAAATTACGTTTTGTTGAAGCATTTTTATGTTTAAAATGTTTGTCCTGGAAATAAATTCCTATATAGACACCAACTTCACTATTTATCTCTCTTAGAATCAAATTTGAAGCCTTTAAATCAAAATGTAAGCAGTATACACTGCCTGCCGAGGTATGTGCATCTAATATAAAGCCAAAGAATCTGAACTGTGACTTTTATTGAAGATTAATGATCTATTACAGCCCTACAGTGGATCCTCCTAGAACTATGAGTCACCCTAATGGCTTATGAAGTGCGCCATGCTGTCAGAGTGATCTGGATCTGCGTCATTAGTTTACTCTGAAGGTTAAATATAGCCGTTTGGATCATTTGGGCGGTTCTCTGCGAGGTTTTGGTAGTTGAAAGCTATGCCACCCTCACCTTATCAGAGCAGGTGTTGTCATCTGGGCCTCCGCCGATGACGAAGAGCTTGTTGACGCAGCTGGCCACAGCGGGGGAGCTGACCGCCTCCTTCATGGGAGCCACTTCCGTCCAGCGGTTGGAGAAGGAGTCGTAGCACTCCACGCTGCTGAGGCGAGACTGACCGTCAAAGCCACCCACAGCATACACCTGCAGAGGGATTAAAAATGAATTTCATATTGCATGTTCCAAGGCATACATTTCATGTTGCCTATAAAAACTGACAAAAAGTGTATCTAAAAGCTAAAAACAGTAGTAGAAGCCATTTTGAAGCTTGAATATCCTTCTCTTTTTTGAATTTCCATAGATAACAGTATGTCATACAGTGTCAGAAACCAGTAAGTAAGTCTATTTGAGATTTAGCAACTGGACACAGTTTGAGGCAAGTTTGTGAAGGTATGCAGTTTACACAATGCTAACTAGTGGCTATACACCGATCAGGCATAACATTATGACCACCTCCTTGTTTCTACGCTCATTGTCCATTTTATCAGCTCCACTTACTATATAGGTGCACTTTGTAGTTCTACAGTTACAGACTGTAGTCCATCTGTTTCTCTGATACTTTGTTAGCCCCCTTTTACCCTGTTCTTCAGTGGTCAGGACCCCCATGGACTGCAGTAACACTGACGTAGTGGTGGTGTGTTAGTGTGTGTTGGGCTGGTACGAGTGGTGCTGCTGGAGTTTTAAACACTGTGTCCACTCACTGTCCACTCTATCAGACACTCCTACCTTGTCAGTCCACCTTGTAGATGTAAAGTCAGAGACGATAGCTCATCTGCTGCTGCACAGTTTGTGTTGGTCATCCTCTAGTCCTTCATCAGTGGTCACAAGACGCTGCCCACAGGGCGCTGTTGGCTGGATATCTTTGGTTGGTGGACTATTCTCAGTCCAGCAGGGACACTGAGGTGTTTAAAAGCTCCAGCAGCACTGCTGTGTCTGATCCACTCGTACCAGAGCAACACACACTAACACACCACCACCACATCAGTGTTACTCCTCATAGCTCCAGCACAAAGCTAAAGAAGTAACCTTCAGGCATCTCTCAACTGACTGACTGAAGTAAGTGAAACTGTGTACATTAGACTTTTTCCGTGAAAGTATCTATTAAATAAACAATGAAACAAACTCTCACTGTTTACAGACACGTCTCTTTGGGTTACGTCTGTTTGGGTTCTGAGGAAATGAAGATCTAGGATAACAACAGGTAGCTGAAATGAAGCAGGTCCATCAGGTAGAACAAGAAGTGTCCATCCATTCCACCTCTCTTTACGCACATTACATACAAAGTCTCTGAAGTAAATGATACAACTACACCCACAAAACACACCTATGTGCTCATCCCCCCACGCTGGTCTCTGTGTCAGTTTCGAGTTGTAATTAGGCAAAGAGATGTCGTCAGCTGATAATACACAGGACAGATAAAGGTGCTAAACAGAGACAGTGTGGCTGCAAAAGTCTGTTAAAGATAACATCTGACTTTATATGACACTAAGCCTTTAAATAAGTCTGCCTGTTAGATACAGGTACATAATGTACATCTTGCCTGTAGACACTTATTAGCAGCAGAAACATTGATTAATGGCACTTGAAATGTATCACAGTTGGTCAGGAATATGATTCACTAAATCTATGTAGCAACCTTAGCTTATAGGAATAGATTGATGAAATTCAAATGTGTACAGCTTTCCCTGTACAGGTGTAGTCGATAAGCCATGCGAAACTTTGCAAATCAAAACCTTTTTTGGAGAAGTTTGGATATATTGCACATAAAATATGTGAATAATTGATTTGTCCAGCCATAAACTTTACAAACGTAGTGTATTGCCTTTCATTTAGTTGTTAGCTGCGAAGCTTTTAGTTCGCTAACTAGCAAGCTGGCAGAGTAAACAGTTGGAGTAGTTTGCAAACTAAAGCCCAGCATATCAAATGTCATCGTTTTGAAATGTTAAGCATTTCAAAGTATTTTGTCGCTTCAGCCTACGAACAGCTTTGTCTGCCATTTATGGTGTGGTCTGAAAAGGAAAAAGAGTCTGTTCTCAATGAGTGCGTTTACATGCACTTAATCCGATAATTGCAGAAAATTTTGATCAGATTTTGTAAGTAATCTGATCAATGCGTTTACATGCACTTGAGTAATCAGATCAAAACTCCAGGTCTACATGAGTCAGACAGTAATCAGATTTCTGCTTTGCAACCAGCCAATAAACTCACAGAAGACGAAAGAATGCAAAACTCAAACTTCATGCTGTTTTTTTTTAAACACATCGTTTTTTTAAAAACACAATTTCATCAACTTTACCTGAAAATATGAACATATATTATCTAGAAGATGAAGAATATTCAAATCCCTCATTTCATCAAGCATGTATTTCGTTTCAGCGTCGCTCCAAAAGTGTTTTGCTGCGTCTCGCGGTGACGCTGCTTACTTATTCCCGGTACCGTGGTCTGTTCTCACACATGTGCAGACTGAGAAATCCGAAAGAAATCAGAATAAGAGTTTACAAGCACTGAGAAAGCTGATTACTGAGCTAAAATCCAGCTCTCTTTATCGGATTTCTTAATCAGATTTGAAGACCTTACTCGCATCTAAGAAATCGGAATGTGCTGTTTACATGACCATTTGAATAATCAGATAACTGCAGAAGTCTGATTATGATCAGATAACTAAGAGCTGTTCTGCTGAAGTCGACAGTAGTGTTCACTCGACCCCTCAAAGGGGATCCCCCCCATCAAACACAAGTCATTTGAGCGAAACCACGTAAGCAAGTCAGTTGGCGATTAGTAAAATGACTCATATCCAAGAAAACAAAATTTCCAGCTTTCCCTTATTATTTGAAATAAAAGAGTTTAATGTAATATGTAAGCATTGTTAAAGTTTCAAGATATGCCATTCACTCCCCAGTCCATACAGTCTATATATTTTCACTGTCCAAAATAGTAACTTTACAGGAGAAGGTAAAATAGAAAAATTAGCTTTATATAAAATGAATGTAAAGAGGATTCATTCCAAGCGATTGTGGAGCATTTCTATTGGTCCGTTCACCATGAGGTTTTCGCACAATGTTAATGACAGCCGCCGTGTTCAAACGATGTAGAAAAATGAAAACTGACAAAAGTGGAGATTCAGGGATGATGTGCAAAAACAGCCTGATAGGAAATCACTGTTTCTGTGATGTCATGAGGACAAATTCATTTGCATATATCCACCTATTCAGCCTACAGTTTAGCTCCGCCCATTCATGGTAAAGTTATAAGGAGTGTTTCAGCCTGGACTGCTTTTTGAATCAGGCACAACACAATGCAACCAATCAGAATCCAGTTCATTTGCTTACATGAGTCTTAAAGGGAAAGTAACAATTGTAAGGGGTATAGTAATTTTGCTGCTAAACTGTGGAAATGAATTCCACCTTTTATTAGACAGTCAAGCTCAGTGCACTCTTTGTGTCACGTTTCCCAGCTCTCAAATGGATTCTCACTAGCTTACGGACTTCAATTCCCAAGATGCATCAGCCAGTCACATAACCCAGCCATCCAATCATCAGTCAGTCAGCAGATCCCAGTCATCTGAATTGTAACTGTTTTCACCCGTTTGCTCTTGTATATATACCTGTCTGTCTGTGTCTCTTATTGTGAAACATTGCCTCTGTTTACCAGAGCGTACTGAGCCTTTTGTCTGTAGTTTGTTCTCTGGTTATGACCCTGTTTTACCTCTTTTTTACCAAAGGTTACCGGTTGGTTTGCTTTTTGGTTCAGGCCCTCGACTGTTTACTCGATACTCTTTTTGCCTGTTCCTATGTACCGTGTTTGGCTATTCTTGTTTTTGACCTGGTCTGGTGGTAACCCCACTGTTTCATATTATTCTCCTTTTAATAAACCATATGGTTTATTTTACATTCGTGAAAGTGTGGTTCGTCAACCCATCATTACATTAAGAAACATTTCGTAGCTCATTACCTTAGCAATCGATTAAAACCAGTGTCTCTTAGTATGTATCTTTCTAATATGATCTGTCATTTTCCTATATGATTTTAAAATAGTAGTCAGAATTTCTTGTATTACTGTTAAGATTTACCACCTCTCTGTAAAGCACTTTGAAAGAAAAGTGCTATATAAATAAACATTATTTTTTTTATTGTTACTATTATTATTATTATTATTAGTAGTAGTAGTAGTAGTAGAAAGAGGTTGGAAAATGGCCATGTAAAAATGAGTTATGACTGTTTTGGTAAAACCACACAAACGTTATAAAATGTAATAAAAATGTAGGATATGGGCCCTTCAACAGACTACTTAGCAACTCAATAACTTGGTTTAAAGTGAGTGTGTGGTGGTTTATACATGTAGTTTACACAGTGCTCATGAGTGTCCATACGCTTTCACTACTTGTTAACTACATTAGCAACAAACTTGCTTAACAAAATCAGATTTTTGCTGTAAACTGTGCACAGTAAACCATGTGGTCCTGTAAGCCACGGGTGTATTAGTCTATCACACTGTAAGCGCAACTCAAAACACACCTGAATCAAAGACACTCGGAAGTTCCGCTCCTTCCCCAGCTGCCACATGTACTGCAGCGTGGCGCAGTAAACATGTTGACCCTAACGGATCAGCACTGAAAACCGGTCCGACCGGAGGCCACGCTAGAACATGCTGGAACACAGGCAGGCAACGTGCTGCTCACGCGAGGCTCAAAGCCACGTGTTAATGAAGACTTCTTTGTTCTGTTTCAGGGTTTACAGAGTCTGAAAAGAGTAAAATAAACTCTGTTGCCTTCAATAAATCTCCATATTCATAATCAACCCTTTAAATGGCTCGGAGGTTCAATTTTATCACACATTTCTACAACTTAAGAATAAGTCAGTCAGTTTGCATTGTGTTATATATTATATATTATATTACTGGGATTTTAAGGCTTAACCCCAGAAACTTGAGGCTTATAAGTCAGCAACTGCTATAAAATGCTATGAAAGTTGTGAGAATGAGGAATTGAAGTTGGGGTTTAAGGGGTTACGGCGGCTATGAAGGTTCTGGATTTAGGCCGGGACATGCGCATAAGTGTCCTTTTTTTAATGCAGTAACACAGATCTAGAGTTTCATCATACAGAGCTCAATTACAACACAACGAGGCCTCTAGGCTTCTCTTTCCTGAACAATCTGGTAAGAAATAGGACATAAATTTATATTTGATTTATCTGTGCGCCAGACAAATTGGTGATTTACAGGTGAGTCTAATTATACCTCTGGCTCCAGGGTCAATATATATATATATAAACAGTCACAGTCTCGATAACAAAGCTGAACAAACCACAGAGTGATCTGCTTATCAAGTGATCAGTTCTGAGGTACAGCACAAGTCAAAGGTTTGTCTTCATGTTAATGGTACTTCTATCTACAGGCTTATGCTTATGAATACAAATAATAAATGGATGCCTTTGTATGAATTTATTCCCCAAAACGGTTGCTGTTGGAAAAGCAGCCCAGGCGGTTCCTTATGAAGCCGCACTAAGGCAAAAGACGTCTATGACACCTACATAACAACGTGGCTCATTCAGTTAGAGACCAGGACGGGGAAGAAAACAAGGTGAAGGAGGAAGCTGGCAGCGGAAGAAAAGTCAGAGAAAGAGGCATTTATCAGCAGGTGGCTGGATGTAACCTACAGCACGATGTAATCTGTTATTGCACAAGCAGCTTTTGTTTCCTCATTGGCTCCAGCAAAAACAGAACATATTGCCCTGAGCCTGTTCTGAGAATGTGCCTCTCCCAGAGCAAAACAAAGCAGAAAGCACCCTATCTTTCACAACAGCAAGGGGCCAATTTGACTTTTGGATTTCAATGAGCCATTGTAACACAGGTAACAACCTAATCCATCATACTGAGACCAATTTCAGCACTTCACCACAGAGAAACATGGCCAACATGGCCACCCTATATATTATTAATGTTCATAAATAGTCATACATAGTTAAACTGTCATTTCTACACAGCAGGGGTGTCTGATTTTGTGTGGAAGTGGGGTGGAGGGGTGCGAGGGGGGCAAGGATTTAGGGGTGGGTGTGTGAGTCCCCAGAGAATTTCTGCAGAGCTAACACTAAGTTGATGCTTGCTGTGCAAAGTTAACCTAGACTTTGTTTCATAGGAAAAACTAGCTAGCTAGTCAAGTAATGTTAGAAACCTGCCTTAATTAGCTAATACGGATGTGCATTCTGTCTAATGTTGATATTTGACTGTAAATTTAATCTGTAATAGTTAATAAATCTGGTTACATAAGCCAATAAGACTTTAAGCTTGCTAAGGATGAAATTAGCAGGGCTATAAGTTTACATTCGAAAGGGATAGCACTGGGATTAGGAGACAAAGATCAGTAGCGCACACATTTAGCATCACACAGACAAATATATCTGGAAACATACTTTATCATTCAAAAATTGGGAAGTAGAGAAATAGGGAAATACGGAAAACGGTAGTCTTTAATAATAATAAGCTAACAACAGAGCTAGCTAACCGGTAATAAGCTAACAATAGAGCTAGCTAACCGGTACACCATTGGATGCTAATGAGGACTTATCATCGTCTACATGAAGTAACTTCTCCTCAGTGGATGACAGACCAGAACTATTTGTAAGAGAAATATCTCTTTTATATTTCTGACCTTGCTAACATCAGCTACAGGTTAGCCTAGTTAGCAAGCAAGCTACCTTCAAGCTACCTCTGACTTTGCAATCATGTCGTTACCAGTGCGTCCCTGGCAAAGCGCTCACGTGAAGGAACTTGTGTTTCGTACTAGCAAAGTGTACATACCTACTCACAAATATGAGAAATGCTGTCACATTTTTCCATATTCCTGTAATAGAAAGTGATGAATACCAAAACAGCTATTCTAAATCATTTTCATTAGCATTTCAGTACTGACACCTGACTCAAGTATTCATGCACATCCCTACTGGCTAGTTAGAAGAGGGGAACCCTCGGGGTCTTCTAGGCCTCCAGAGAAGGCCTAATGATTTCAGTTCTATATTACAGTACTATTCTTGTTTCATTGTAAAGTATGTTAATGTGTTTGTCACAAGCTTCAAGTGAAACATGTCATGTCTTTTAGAAGCTTCAAATGTCTGTGTTTAATTTAGACTGTCTTTTTCGAATTTTCCATTCCACCTTAAATGGTGCAGCAGTTACATTCTGGTGGCACCTATTAAGGCGGAGCAGAAAATTTGAATTCAAAGCTAACTTCAGGCTTATCCAAAATGTTTGTGCAAATCACCTTTAGCTTAGCGCTAACAAACTACGAGAATCCTATGGGGACACTAACAGACGTGACATTTATGTCCAGAATTAGAGGGCTGGCTCTAATAGTGACAGTTTGCCAATGCTAGTTAGCATGTCTAGCTGGCTAACTCATTAGATATAATGTTAGAAGACGCTAGGTAGCTATCTTGTTGCCCACTGCAAAAATCTGAAATTATTTATGGCTAAAACAGGCACTGCTGATTATAACTGCTACACTAGATTTAACCCACTTTTATCATTTGTACTGAGTTTCTGAATCTACTCTTCTGTCTTATGCTGTTATAAACAACTAGCTTCAGCAATGCATGGAATCAGATCTTCACTGCTTTTATTCACAAAAAAAGATCTGTTTTTTGGGAGGCTGATAAAATTAACTGAAAATGAAAGCTGAAGGGTGCAGGGGGTCCATCATTCAGACTCTGTACCTGTGCTCCACAGGGTTCTTCTCATAAGAAAACTGACGGTCATCAAGTCACCTATTATGCAGAACAGTTATGGAACACTAGCTATCAAGCTTTTAAGGCCAAGTGACTCACAGGGTGGAGAGAGCTAATGATGTCACTGTTTAGATGGCCAAGTGGAAAATAAGCAAACAAGGAATCTAGAGCAGAGAGAGGGAAACGCAGACCAATACGGTGGGCCAGAAAGAGTGCTGAGTGAGAGATAAACGTATAGAGCAAGACAAACAGACTGAAAGTGAGAGAGTCATGCAGACAGTTGGCGTCAAGGGCAGAAACGTGTCTGCAGGCTGAGTGAGTTTAATTAGCATGTTATGACCCCAGTGCTTGTTGTTCAAGAGGGGAAGTGTCAGTCAAGTCTAAGCAAAGATCTTCAACAACCCACAAGAGAAGACTCTGTGACAGAGGCATTTTAGTCTGGGATACTCTGTCAGGAATGCTTCACATGTAGCATGCTGGCTATTAAAGTATCAGTGTCAGTCAGACGTTTTTATGCCCCTGATTGAATAGACAATGCATAATCTTACATACATATTGATCTAATAGCTTGTTTAAAGAAACATCCCAGCTAAAACGAAAATGTTTCTATAAACATCCATGGACACTTTGCATGATTAAAGGGTTCTTTGCATCATAAAAGGGCTGTTCAGATCAATGGAGAATGTGCTGTAGATGGTTCTATATAGAACCTTTTTGAAAAGGGTTCTTTATAGCACCTAAAAGGGTTCTTGTACTGTTACACGATTGACATGGTGAGAATAGAATAATTTGTTTGGGTGCTATACAGAACCCTTTTTTTAAAAAAGGTTTTACATAGAACCATCTACCGCATATTCTTAAGAACCCCTTCATGATGCAAAGAACTGTTTAATCATGCAAAAGGTCCTATGAGAGCTCATGGTTCTTCATAGAACCATTTCCTTTACTAAAGAACCATTGAGCAACAACAAATATGTTAAGAATATGTTACGATGTCTGACAGTTTCGGTATATATATTTTATTTAAATAAAACCATTTTAGATGCAAGGAAATCTATTGTTGTAGGCTACCGGTGACCACTTCAGATGCGATGGACTAGACAGCGAGAGGTGACTGAGGGACTGCTGCTCGTTTATTTCCATTTAAAACATGACTGAAACATCCCTTACTCAGCCATTCAGCTAAAAGGTATAACATTAGCATGGTTTACACTGTTTGTGTGTCTTGTTATCTGTGCTTTTTTGTGGCTTACTATAACGGTTCTCACAAAAGTCATACCTGAGGAAGAGATTCAACCAGTATACTGGATTAACTGGTATGCTCCCCTCCACTAGCTCTGAGAAAATGCCAGGCTGCATCACAGCAAAGAGAAAATAAGGAAACACTTCTCTAAGTAGGTTTGGATAATTTCATCTGCTCTTCGTTAACCTAGTTGCGAAACTGAATACAAATGATTACAGTATACACAAGGAAGTCGGAGCAGCTGATGTAATATAAGTTGGTGGTGCTGTGCATGCCATACAAGAACATTTGGTTCCATGAAAAACAGTGGACGCTTCTGTGACCAAAGGTTCTGTGTCAATCCATCCATTCAAGCCATGAACCACCGAAGAACGTTTATCTGAGTATATGTGGAGCTGTACCTTGCCCAGCAGCACAGCCATTTTGTGTCTCCAGCGGCCCTTGTTGAGCGAGGCCACACGGATCCAGATGTTCAGTTGAGAGTTGTACATCCACACGTCCCTGCTGTTGATGCGTCCACCTGAAACAACCACACAGTATTTTGTTGTATTATACAGTCATATGCAAAAGCATCAATGGCCCTGGTCAAATGACCAAGCTCACTGATGGCCTACAGAGTGTACAGAGAACATAATTCTGCACATTTTAATGCACAATTACAGTTGATTTGCTGAATTTAACATTAAAAAAATAGAAATGCAAAAGTGCAGAAGTTAAAGCCCATTTTATATTTTATGTTTTTTCCCCCAATATGTTAAACTCAGCAAATAATTAAAAATTTTGCACTACAATTTGCAGAAAAATGTCATATTTTTAAGTGTTTTCTCTGTGGGGGTTGTGCAAACTTATTTTTATTCAGAAAATCAACAAAACATGTAATTTGTATGGAAGTCCAGAGAGGCCATGAGCTGTTGCTATAAGTTTCTGGATTGTTATCTGGAGATAACGAGTTAATTATCTTGTGATCTCAAGATAATCTTGAGATAATAAGATAACTAACTTGTTATTTCAAGACAACAACTTTGTTATCTTGAGATCACAACATAATTAACTCAATATCTCAAGATCTCGAAGTTGTTATCTTGAGATAACAACACAATTATTTTGTTATCTCAAGATAACAATCCAGAAAATTATAACTACCTCATGGCCTCTCTGGACTTTCGTGAATTTGACTGGGGGTGCACAAACTTTTGTATACAATTGTATTAAATTATATTATAAAACATAATAAGCCTGAAACATGAACCTGAAAGCATACACTGTAAGAAAAGCTCTTGTAGAAAGGTACTGTAAGTTTATGGAATAAGTGTTATTTCACTGTATGACATACAAATATATTATTATATCATATATATTTAAAAATAAACATATATGAGAGTATTTTTATTCAAAAATTGAATTTTTGACAAAAACAAATCTGCTATTCTCATATATATAAAGTGACACTTGTACATACTTTTTTCCTTCACCTTAATATAGTTGATGAGCCACAACATGTCGTGAGTTGTGTGTCGAGTTGTTACGTGTTATGTTGTTATGTAATCTTAATGCTGAACCAACACTGAGACTTCTTAACAACTTGGCCGTTTGAGGTGAAGTGTGTGACGGTTTAAGCATGTTGTTCACACAGTGCCAACTGACGGAATACAAGCTTCCATTATTTCTCAGCTACATTAGCCTTGCGGCTCCAGAGTAAAACTAAAGAAACAAATGTCAGACACCAAACATGTCTTGGCTGATCAGCTAAAACTGTAGAAATATGATGAATATCGACTTAAGAGAAAAAGGGAAGTGATGAGGAACATCAATGTTTTCTGATGCAAATTATTTAACAGCTATGCAAAAGTCTCAATCCCAACAAACCAGGTTAACTCGTCAGTCGTCTTGCTGAGTAAGCACCGCACAGAGTCACTGGACTCTCTCTCTCTCGGTCTCTATCTCTGATCTCTGTCTCTATCTCTCTCTATCTCTAAATTCTTACCTCATGTTTTAAGTAAACAACTTAAATGAAAATGAATTTGGATTAAGTCTGTTAAGTATGAAAAGCTTCACTGAGATCAGTTAACGTATGTAAACAGAGCTTCTGAAAACAATGACTGATGAATCAGAAAATAAGCTTAGAAGTAGCCCAGCCTGTATGATAACAAGCAAAGGGGAAGTGCTAGAGAACATGCTTGGGGATATGAGCTCCTCTTACCATATAGGAACACTTTGTAGTTCTACAATTACAGACTGTAGTCCATCTGTTTCTCTGCATACTTTGTTACCCTGTTCTTCAGTGGTCAGGACCCCCATAGGACCACCACAGAGCAGGTATTATATGGGTGGTGGATCATTCTCAGCACTGCAGTAACACTGATGTGGTGGTGTTGCGTTAGTGTGTGCTGCGCTGGTACGAGTGGATCAGACACAGCAGTGCTGCTGGAGTTTTTAAACACCTCAATGTCACTGTTAGGTTGAGAACCAAAAACATCCAGCCAACAGTGTCCTGTGGGCAGCGTCCTGTGACCACTGATGAAGGACTAGAGGATGACCAACACAAACTGTGCAGCAGCAGATGAGCTATCGTCTCTGACCTCACATCTACAAGGTGGACTGACAAAGTAGAAGTGTCTAACAGAGTGGACAGTGACTTTAAAAACTCCAGCAGCACTGCTGTGTCTGATCCACTCGTACCAGCACAACACACACTAACACACCACCACCACGTCAGTGTTACTGCAGTGCTGACAGTGATCCACCTCCCAGATAATACCTGCTCTGTGGTGGTCCTCTGGGGGTCCTGACCATTGAAGAACAGGATAAAAGGGCTATTTGCAATAATATATACACATATATATTATTAATTATATATATGTTTTTTCCTTCTCCTGTAAAGTTGCCAAAGTTTTGTTCAGACGATACAGCAGCGTTCAGCAGCGATATATATATATATATATATATATATATATATATATATATATGTATGTACACACACACACACACATGTATTTGTCCCTTACATATTATATGTGTGCATACTTATATGTCATTTTCTACATCTAACCCTAACCTTAACTTCAGTAACCAAAAAGCCAGGACCAGCAAAATATTGTAGGTTACACAGTTTTTCTGAGTTTCCATTTTTGCTCTGAAAATGTATGAAAACAGAAACGTACAGCAGATGATCATTTGTTTTATATTCTGAGTTGAGGCACATGAACACAGACTGAGAGGGCAGTAAGGGGAGGAGGCAGATGGACTGGGGAATTGTGGAATGTAGGGAATAAAATGCGGTGTGTGTGTGTGTGTGTGTGTTGTGTGTGTGTGTGTGTGTGTGTGTTTGTGTGTGTGTGTGTGTGTGTGTGTGTGGGTGAGCACAGTGTGACAGTGTGTTTACATATAATAGTCAGCTGTGGTAGTGTGATGAGTGAGAAAGCAGCTGACAGGGAACCGCAGTGAGGTTCATTTAGCAAAGCACAAAATCCTACAACCCAATCCAAGTTCAGCTTGGATGTTTTGCTGTGTTCTGCTGTCACTGCAGGCCTTTAGTGTTGACGGTAACATGTAGTAGAACATGGAAGCACTTACTGCTGTACTGACTTAGAGAACTAGACCTGGCCTCAGTCCAACTCCCCTAACATACACCACAGCAGAGTGTGTGGGGGGGTATGTGAGAGAGAGAGAGAGAGAGAGAGAGAGAGAGAGAGAGAGAGAATGGGGGGGTTGGACAATGTGGGGGCTGAGAGATAAAGAGTAAAAGGAGTAGAGGAGAAAAGAGAGTGAGAAAAAGAGAGTGGAAGGGAGGGAGAGAGAGAGAGAGAAAGAGTGAGAGTAGAGAGGAAAAGAGAGAGAGAGAGAGAGAGAGAGAGAGAGAGAGAGAGAGAGAGAGAATGGGGGGTTGGACAATGTGGGGGCTGAGAGAGAAAGAGTAAAAGGAGTAGAGGAGAAAGAGTGAGAAAAAGAGAGTGGAAGGGAGGGAGAGAGAGAGAGAGAGAAAGAGTGAGAGTAGAGAGGAAAAAAGAGAGAGAGGGAAAGAGAGAGAGAGAAAATGAGGGGGGGTTGGACAAAGTGGGGGCTGAGAGAGAAAGAGTAAAAGGAAGAAAAGGAAAAAAGAAAGAGGAGGGAGGGAAAAGAGAAAGACAGTGAGAGAAAGAAAAAAATAGAGGTGAAGAGAGAAGGAGGAAAAGAGAAAGAAGAGATAGTGTAGGGAGGGAGAGAGAGAGAGAAAAAGAGTGAGAATAGAGGAGAAAAGAGAGGGAGAGAGAGAAAAAGAGAGAGTAGAGGAGAAAAGAGAGGGAGAGAGAGAAAAAGAGTGAGAGTAGAGAGGAAAAGAGAGAGTGAGAGATAGAGAAAAAAAGAGAGCGGAAAGGAGGGAGACAGAGAAAAAGAGTGAGAGTAGCAGTGAAAAGAGAGAAGAGAGAGAGAGAGAGAGAGAGAGAGAGAGAGAGAGAGAGAGAGAGAGAGAGAGAGAGAGAGAGAGTGCACTGTTTTCCTCAGGGGCCACGTGAGAGCTTGGCACATTGCGAATGTAAACAGATTTCTCTGAGGCTCCTCCCACGTGCCCTCTCAACGCCTCTCATTCGCTCCCTCCTTCTCTCTCATCCCACCTCTGTCGTAAACCTTTCCTCTAGACTAGCTCGCCTGTTCAAAGAGCTGTTAGCACGGCGCTCTGCTACATCTGAGCAGCCCCTACAGTTCAAACCTCCAGAGGGAGACGAGCAGAGAAAACGTGGCATAGAAATCCAGAACAGCAACAAGATCAGACAACACGGCAGGAAAAACTATCAGCTCTGTGAGGAGATAAATCAGAGCAAGTGTGACTGTCTGATTGTCTGACTGACAGATGTGGGCTGGAAAAACTGGCAGCTAGACAAACGCTAGAGGAAAAGAAGACATAAATAATGAAAAAAAAATTAAAGTTCTCCAGTGAAAAACCTGCCTTACAGTCCTCACCTGACACGAGTATGTCGTTGCGGAGGGCACACACTGCGTACTCGGACTTGGTGAACTCGGGAAGTTTGGCCAGTGATTTCCACTCTCCGGTCACGGGGTCATAGCACTCGGTGTAAGGCAGGTTGAAGCCTCCCACTCTCTCACAGCCACCCACCACCACGATGACCTCTGAGAAACCCGTGGACCTGCAGGACGACAACAAACCCCACAGTTCAAGATTTGTTCATTATCCCTTTCATACCTTCATGATGCATTCTGGGACATCATATTTATCCATTTTAAATCTGCCCCAGAGTAGCTGGTGCACAGAGTATTTAATTACAGTATAATGTATCAGTATGCGGAATATATGGAGCTTTCTGTGTGACATGTTTTCTATCACCATATAAAAGAAGCTCCATGCTGTCTTTACTGTTGGATGCACTGTAACAGCTTCTGAGTGAGCCTTTAAACACATTCAGAACATTTAACATCACTATGGAAATGCTTAATGTTGATTTGTTTAATCCGACAATAACAATAAAAGGACACCGAAGCGTGATGTATATTCCTAGTCATGTGTTGGTTTGCTCAAAAAAGATTTTTTCACATTTAGATTGTTTTGTTTACATGTCAAAACAAGAGCACTGAGAAATCACTCTATTAAAGGAGAAGATTAAAAAAGCAGAAATGGACCCTTTTTTTGCCTCAGCGTTTAAAAGATCAACATAATGCAACATTTGCATTATGTGAGTGATACTTTCCAGGGCTGTTTGTTGCTATAAGTGGTACAAGCAGCCATTTAGGACCCCCCAGCCATAAGAGCCCCCATGAATATGTGTGTTTTTAATATTGTTTATGCCAATCATGAAGCATAAAAGTAACGGCTTTTGCTTCCATGACAAATGCAATTCATTTTATATGCATTTATTTGTTTTATTTATGTACACAATTTATTTCATCTGCATTTATTTGTTGTATTTTATTTTTTTTTTTAGTTTTTTAGTTGTTGAAAAGATTATTTCTCCTCTAGTTAATTATTGTTTTGCACAATTATTGCAATTACCAGTTTTTTATTCCCTAAACAAAATTAATAGAGTGTTCGTTCTTTCATTATGGTTGAGGTGGGCGTCAGGCCCCTAAGCATGATGTCACTTAGGACCCCCAGGAGTTCAGAAATGGACCTGATACCTTCTATAAACTTTATAATATTCATAGCCCACACTTTATTACATTCCTAGCAGTTATCACTGTAGCCTATGTTTCTATAAAGATAATCTGATGCCAGAATCCTATGATAGTTTGCCAGTTGCTTGGACAGAGTGCCCTGATTGGTTAAATTGAATAATATAAAATCAAGCTATGAAAAATCAGCTATAAAGAAGCAAAGGCCAAGTTCCTTTTTACAGTATTAATCAAATGTTATACACGCAGTCTCAGTAGGCCCAAACCAGCAGCTCTACTTTTGTGCAATTCTACTTATAATGAGTAACATAATACATTTATGACTACATGATCATTAATATTCAGTAAAGAAAATAAAAACATAACCCTTTAACAAGGTGACTCAAAGTTGCTGACATACAAACGCACTGAAATCCAAGCTACAATGACCTCTGCCCATTGTAACTCATTACCAGAACCTGTTTGTTTGGCCTGTTTTCTTCCCCGGCGACTGTGTGTGCAGAGGACAGTGGAGAAACACAGCTCTACGCTAAGAATAGCAGCAAAAAACACGTAAGATTACAGCTGAGAGCAAGAGGTGAACTCGACTCAGAGAGCGAACACGAGCGCTTTGCCAGCAAAACATTTTGTCCAAACTGCCTCCTCCCCTTTCCCTTAAAAACAGCTGTCTAGAAAAGTACTGCTCTCTCTCTCTCTCTCTCACTCTCTCTCTCTCAATGCTCAAAGGAGGAGGGAGAGCAGCTGCTAAAAGGCTAAAGTTAGAGCTGAACTCCAGCTCCCCTCAGAAAGGAAGGACATTAGAGCTGTGGGCCGCCGGTCTGAGTTAATGCCACTTCAGCATAAACACACTGCTGACTGCGTAGCCTTTTCAGGAAAAACTGGAGGTTTAAAAGACACACTAGGGCTGGGCAATATGACAATATTATCATGATATAATATTGAATGACAATGTTATCATGATAAATTATGTCACAATACAATACAATATTTCTGAGCATATTGTGGACAATGTCAGTACTTGTACAACACTGACCAACTGCATGAGAGCAAAATTTGTCCCCTTTAACTAGATTTAGTGCAACACTGTATGCCAAATATTGAATAATAAACATTGCATTCACAGTTTTTAATGATGTAGCACTACTGGTTCTTTTTGCTCTGTTCCAACTGATCAGACATCTGAAAAAATAAATATCGTGAGATATCATGTATCATTAAAAAAGTATTGCGATATAATATTTTTGCCATATCGCTCACCTCTAAGACATACTTTGGCAAATAACTCACATTTACACAATTTTCCCTTTATTCTAGATGTAGTCAATCAGCCAAAACATGTTTGGTGTCCAAAGGTTGCTTCATTTTGCACTGGAGCTACAAGGCTAATGTAGCTAACAAGTAAGCGTATAACCCACCAATTAGCATAATTACTACTTACTTAATACATCTAAACTGTACACTGTAGGACATACTGTTATCTATAGAAATGAACAAAAGATAGCATAAAATAACATTAGCATCCTGAAATCCTGAATTCTGCCCATACTTTTGTCCATTTTTATACCTTTTCTTGCAATTCCAGATTATGTCTGTGACACTGTATTTAAAAAACACTGGAATACTTCACTTAATATAATTCATATATTTCACTACTTGCAATTTTGCACATTTTATTTCCTTAACAATATTTAACTACGAAGCCCTGCTGGTGACATCCCATATACATAAAAATAATGTGTGGTCACGCCTTATTAAAGGGAAATGAGATCCTAATGCATGGCCATGAGTAAGGTGTGGGAACGGGATCATGCCTTACTAAGTTGTGGCCACACATTAGGATCTTGTTCCCATGCCTTACCAAGTCATGGTCATGACTTAATTATCTTCATTACCGTGCACTGCCTGAGTTCTACTTTGTATTTACTGTAAGTCTTTTGTTGGTAAGTCTGTGTTGGTCCTGGAGGAACGTGTCTCATTTCACTGTGTACTTCTATACAACTGAAATGACAATGAAGCCTCTTGAACTTGAACTTCCATATAAATACATTGTCCGAAACCACACAAGCAAGTCTACTTAACAAGTCACCGTGGTTTGCATGATGCTAATTGGTATACACCAGCTTCTATTACCTGTTAGCCAACACTGACCAGTGTAGTGGTGTGTATGCAGGTATACAGCATATACCCACCTCTGAGGAGACTGAGTTACAGTATAGCCACCTAAAATAGCGAGCAATGGTTATTTGCATGGTGAAATTGTTCTTCAGATTGATGGAGAATGAGTTGTATGTGTTGTATGTCTTTGAAAATGGTTCTGTATTGCACCAAAAAGGGTTCTTCTATTGCTACAAGCCTGACATCATAACAATAGCAGAACCCTTTTTGGTGCTATGGAACCATTTTCAAAAAGGCTCAACATGGAACCATATACAACAGCAGAAGTGTAGGAGTGAAGCGAACATGTCTAAGCATGTTAACCCTATTTTAGAAAGTGCAAATTTAGACTATAATAGCACCAGTTGCTCCATTCCAGTCCTGCAAAGTAGTTCTCTTATGCTTTAATTCATTTAATGAATATTAAACATTCACACTTCATACATTAATGCAGGTAAAATATGTTCTTTTCATAGTTATATAGGCTGCAGTGTATTTAACAGACTTTTTTTGCTACACAAGACTTTTAGACCAGCTTTAGATCCTTTAATTATAGAGTATATTGAGTTAGGGATCTTACAAAGCACAGTATACTCACCTGTGCAGACACCACTACACCCCTGGCTGCAATAGCTTTGTAGTACCAGCACAAAACTAAAGAACTTCAGACGTTAAATACACTATATGGACAAAAGTATTGGGACACCCCTCCTAATTATTGAGGTTAGGCGTGTCAGCCACACCCATTGTTAACAGGTGGATTAAATTAATCACATAGCCAAGCAGTCTCGATAGACAAACACTGGGTCGCACTGATGAGCTCAGTGACTTTAAACATGGCACTGTCACAGGATGGCACCTTTGCCACAAGTCAGTTTGTGAAGTTTCTGTCCTGCTAGATCTGCCACTGTCAACTGTAAGTGCTATTACTGTTAAAGGGAAGTACCTACGAGCAACTACAGCATAGCCATGAAGCAGTATACCATGCAAACTCACAGAGTGGGGCCGCCGAGTGCTGAAGAGCACAGATCCTCTGTTGAATCACTTGCTAAAGAGTTCCAAATTGGCTCTGGAAGCAACATCAGCAAAATAACTGCACGTTAGGAGCTTCACGAAATCGGTTTCCATGGCTGAGCAGCTACACACAAGCCTAAGATCGAAATGCACAATCCCAAGCATCGGGGAAGTGGTGTGGAGCACGCCGCCACTGGACTCTGGAGCAGTGGAAACGTATTCTGTGGAGTGAAGAATCACACTTCTTTATCAGGGCAGTCTGATGGACGAGTCTGAGTTTGGTGAATGCCAGGAGAACTTTATCTACTTGACCGTTTGGTGGAGGAGGGATAATGATTTTTCAGACCTAGGACCTTAGGTCCAGTGAAGGGAAATCTTAATGCTTCAGCAGACCAAGACATTTTGGACAATTCTATGCTTTCAATTTTGTGGGAACAGCTTGGGGAAGAGCCTGTTCTGTTCCAGCATGACTGAGCCCCAGTGCACAAAGCAAGGTCCATAAAGTCATGGCTGGGTGAGTTTGGTGTGGAAGAACTAGACTGGTCCTCACAGAGCCCATGACCTCATCCCCATCAAACACCTTTGGGATGAACTAGAATGAAGACTGTGAGCCAGACCTCCTCGTCCAACATCATTGTCTGACCTCACAAGTGCTCTTCTGGATGAGGACAAAAATTCCCACAGACACTCCAAAATCTTGTAGAAAGCTTCCCAGAAGAGTGGAAGCTGTTATAGTAGCAAAGGGGGACCTGCTCCATATTAGTGCCTATGGGTTTAGAATGGTAGTCATAAAAGCTCCTGTAGGTGTCCCAATACTTTTGTCCATATAGTGTATGCCCTGGCTACATTTGAGTAAACTATTCCTTTGACATCCAAAGTAAGTGCTGAGCTCCATTGGTGTTTTCACACTTTGGCACAAAGTCAACTGCATACTCTACGAATGGTTCAGTTAAGATCGTTAAGCAAAACATTTTTCGTGTTATTGTGACCTGAAAGGCTCTAAGTAAAGAGAGAGTCATCTCTGCCCGGAGACAGAGGGAGTGGAGGTTTGCCTGTTGCAGACTAACACCCTACTGAACAAAACCTTAACCCTTTCAGCTTCTTTAACGCTTTCTTCCTCTAGCACACCCGCACACGCAGACAAACACTTTTCTTTCGTCATCAAGTTTGCAGCACAATGTTGTAACTCTTAAACTCCACTGACACTATCTTGGCAATCAGTGAGTTCTGAGTTCTTCCCCTAACCCCATTTCACAGAACCAGACAATGCGCCGGGGGGGTTAAACTGATAAACCCGAAAACCACGGCGGCTCTTTCAGCGAATCACGTTCAGACAGATTCCAAAGTCCTTCGGTTCAGCAGGGAGGAAAACACACTGCCGGCCTTTTTTTCCCCTTCTCTTCTCCCCGTCTGAGCACAAAAACAAAGAGCACATGGGTTCAGGTCAACAGGAGCATGTTTCGAAACGCAAGTGTTTACGCGATAAGGAGACTGCGGAGTAGGAATGTGTACAGACAAGCCTTCATCATACTCCATCCATCAGTGCATGTTCAGAGAGAGTCTCAGGACAGGATGGCTGGATCAGCAGCAGGTTCTTCCTTGCCTGTGCAGGTGTTGCTCTATATAGCTGTATATATGTCAGTTATGTATAGTGTTATTTTGCCTATTGTTCATACACATGTATAACATTATCTTGAAAGCTTTTATAATCTCATTAATAACTACCTCAAATTATGTATGTAAATATTTAGTTGCATTTACAGGGTGATTCAAAAAGATTCATCCGATTTCAATATTATTTATCTCACTTGTAAATCATTACAGAACAATGCAGTACATTGTAAATGGTTTAAGTGAGCATAAAGTTTATTATGTAATTATACAAGTGCTCAATATGAACCTCCTCCAGCTGTACGGACATCAACGCCATAGTCAAATTCATCCCGTACTGGATTGAGCATGTCAGGTGTCGCTGCACTCACGGCTCTTTCAGTGCGATTTCGGAGATCATCCAGTGTTGTGGAACCAACGACGAACACTCTGAGCTGTTGAAGACTCATTGCCGAGGGGTCGGCATCTCCTCGCAGACTGAAGGGAGAAATCTTGCGGTGACAGTCAGAAACTCTATGATCCCCTCTTACAATTGGTATGTGATTGGCTCCTAGACCCCTCACGGTTGTAAAAATATAGCGCTTTGAAATTGGAGGAATCTTTTTGAATCACCCTGTATTTGTAAACCCAGGCTTTTATAAACATATGATTATTATTCAGTTAGTAATCTCACAATTTATTCAGTAACTGCTATAAATTGAGGAACTGAAATTTGGACTCACATATAGGTCATTATAGGGTTTAAGAGATTATAAACATTTGTAAAATCTCCCTACGTAGATAAATGGATTTAAACTTTAAATTTGCTTTACAGTTACCGTGCATTTACAGTGGCAAAAAAACTGTGTAAATTTTAAAATAAAACTGTTCAAATTGTTTAGAATTCAGTTTATTAGCATCTAATATATTCTATATATAAGCATAAAATTTACAGAATTCTACAAACTTTATTAAACTTTTTTTTCTGCAATTATCTTTGGGATTCATAATGCTTCACTCTATCTATCTATCTATCTATCTATCTAGCTAGCAAACTCAATAGATAGGAATTTTTATGTAGACACTTAATAAATGTTTCTATCCATTGAGCTGGCCAGCTAACTAGATAGATAGATAGATAGATAGATAGATAGACAGATAGCCACTAGCGCACCCCCCCACCCCCCCGCCCCACCACTCCCTGACTCCTATCACTTCACCTACATTACTTCATGTCACTACATGTGCATCTTCAAACCTGCTTCTATGAGCTTTCAAGAAGATCCCCTCCGGAAAAGTCTGCTAAAGCTCTGTTTTTACGTCCCTCAAATCACGGCCTTATCAAAGCGATTTCTAAGCTACCAACAACAAACAACAACAACAGCAAGCAACAATAACAGACAAACCGTCCTGGGTTTGCTTTCATGCAGCAGGGGAGAGCCGTTAAGCTGATAAAGACTATAAAAACAGAGCAGCTCTTTGATACCGTGCCGTGTGAGTGGCCAAATACAATGGCTCGAACACACGGCCTTTCCCACCATCTCAGCCAGCAGGCAGAGGCCAGCAAAGAAACAAAAGCCAAAAGCACCAGCAGGATCAGGTCAAGCTGATAAGCCATAGAGCGAGATAAAGAAAGTGAGTGTGAAAGGCTATTTCTGTTCTCCGTTATCTCGTAACTGTCAGATAGACATTAGCTGGTTTTTAAAGAGCGTGCTGAACCGCTGCTGCATGTCATCGTCGTGTTCCTCAGTTTTATTAGCCCCTATCCTCTCATCTGAACTCTGTAAGTGCATGCTGTTGAAAACAGTCTCTCACTAAAGTGGCACAAATCCATTGTGATACAGATCAGATTTCTTCAGATCTTTCCACAGCAAATTTGATCCCCTTTGTTATGTAGCCCTAGACTGGATATGTCTATTGCATATAAGGTTATACATCTAGAAGTTACACTAGGTAGCTAGCAGGTATAACTGCAGATGCACAGTCAATCTATAATATACTAAAATAACTTGAGTCATGCTAACTTTATTTCAGGCTGTATTCCTTTGTAATTAAGAGTAAGTTAATAGTATTTGATAGGGCTGAAACAATTATTTGATATTATCAATAATGTCAACAATACGTCCAATATAAAGTGAGTTAACGACTTCACCCGGAGAAGGCAGTGGGTCACTTTATAGTGCTGTGAGCAGATAGCAAAAGAAAAAGAACAATAATAGCTGAATGTTAAAAAAGAGTAAAGCCTGGGACAATTTTGTTAAAATGAAGGATAAAGTAGTCAGTATTTGCAAGTGTGACTTTCCAAGGAAGCACAACACCGCCTTCGCCCACCAGAACAGAAAACATGCTAGTGTTGATTCTGAAGTAGCAGAACACTGAGTAAATGGTAGCTTTCCCTGGCCACTTCCTATTTCCCTTGTTATATCAAAAACAAACTGCAAAACACAGGAGGGCGCACACGAGCGAGTCCTCAATGAATGAGGGTGAATGGAGCTAAACGGCTAAAAACAAAAAATTAAAAATACTTTCTAATCACTTCTACAGAACTTTCCTTTCATTTTAGAAAGTAGAAGGATGTATTTCACTAAAAAAGCAAAGAAAACTCACCTGTATGTTTGTTTTTTTCTACAGCAAACGGGTTTTGGGCTGCTGGACATTAGCAGCTATTGAGTGCTGATTGGTTGGCAAGCGGAGCAGCTCATTGGCTGTTCATGCTCACTGACATCATGAACGTACATGATGCGCTGTTTTAAACTCGTACAACTCGAGTTTAAAAGCTCTTAAAAATATAACAGCAGTGTTAAAATGTTCAGGATATGAATGTATTCTTTTATCTTAAAAATGTTTAAGCATTTAAAAACTATGATTTTACTCAAATGCTCCATATAAACCCATTCATTTTGGACTCACGCGGGAGCGCCCTCTAGTGTTTGAGAAATTCAGAAGACATTACAGAGTGGTAATACTCCTCGCTACAAGTTCTCTGGCTTTCCCTCCATGTTGGTGTTCTGACAAACCAAATTACTCAGTGAGGACCTGCAGATCACTGTAACATACCTTTACAAAGCTCATCATGTTAAATTACCAACATTAGTCTCTGGAAAAACTATTGAATATTCAGTGGCTCATCCTATCACAGTGTCACATACATTAGCTAACTACTACATACAACTAGTTACTTAGCTTAAGATACAACAAATTTTGTAAACATTTTCCCTAACCCTAACCCCAACCACTAGGGGGTGCTAAACTACATTCTTCAACATGCCCTCTAGCTACTGTTCTGGAACTAATGCTAGTTGCTTAGGTCTGAAGACAGATGATGTTGCCTACCTGCGTGGTCGAGTCCTGGGCGACATCATCTCATTTCCCAGTACATGGTAACGTCGGGCTTCATGCAACAGCTGGTAGCACTCTGGTGCGTTCTGGATCAGTTGGTCCCCCTCCACCGTCTGCACGAAGTAGTTGGGGTGCAGCAGGGGCAGGCGCACGTGGTTTAGTAGCTCACGCAGCATTCCGCGCCGGTGCTCCACGTCGTGGTAGACCCAGCGCATCACCGCCTCAAACACCATCTCCTCCTTGCCGATCACCAGCTCGTCACTGGCGATGTACTCCTCCAGCTCGTCGCGCCGGAGGTCCAGGAACTCCTCATGCTGTGCCACGTCACCGAAGCTCTGCAGGGCATAGGTGCGACAGCGGCTGGCCAGCTGCTTGAGCGAGTGGGCATCAGCGAAGCGCTGGATGCCCAGGCAGTTGCACGGGTCCAGCTGGTCCTCTAAGAACTTGGCACAAGCATCGCGCAGAGCACCAATCTGGAAGAGGCTGGATGTCTCGAAGAGGAACTGTACGTTGTCAGTGGTGATGCGTGCACGGCCAGTGTAGACGTACTGCAGGAAGGTGTCCATGGCCTCGGCACGGATGCCATTGATCTCCACCAGCATCTCGCGGCTTTCGCGGTGGTCGTTACAGAACATGGCACGGAAGTAGCTGCTGCAAGCTGAGAGCACAGCACGGTGGCACGGGAACTCACGGCCCTCCACGCTGATCACCACGTCGGTGAAGAGGCGGCCATCACGGAACTCGTCAAACATCTGCAGAACGCTCTCGGCGTGGCAGGGGCCGGAGGAGAAGTCGAAGACATCGTGGCCGCTCAGTGTCTTGGAGTCCATCTCCAGGACTTTGCGCTTGACCGCAGGAGACTCGCGTGTCCCAGAGTCCTCCCGGTTCAGCCGTCTTCCCAGGATCAGTACCATGGCTGTCAGGGTCGATCAGGCCCAAGGCCTACTCAGAGGAGAACAGAAAGGGATGCTGACTCTGCTGAAAGATGGGAAGACAAAGGACAATCGGGTCATTCAGTTAGAAGGTTCTAAATGCAGAGCCGCAGTACCGCACTCTCGGACTCGCACTCTCAGCTCTGGATATGATGTTACACCTTAGTACTGAAAGAAACAAAAAACGTTACTACAACAAGTAGTTTCTCTGTTAAAAATGTGTTTTTTCTCATCTAATAAGAGTAAAAGTTCAATCCACCGTTTACTTTCACACTCATGAGAGCTGAAAGTGCAGGTGCAGTTCCTAATCAGAGGCACAGGTAGCTGAAAATGCGGGTCTGAAAGTGTGGGGGCTAAGGTTTTGGTGCTGTGGCTCTGCAGGTGGATACTCCTGCATTCAGTAATGAACTGGAAAGGTTATGAGGCTAGGGCTAGATTTATAGTCCAATTTCAGTCCAATTTTGATTTTTAAAGCTGTTCTCTTTGATTACTTTTTCAGTGCCCTCTCATTCATCAGATTAATGCGCTTAGGGAATGAATCTGCAGCTCAACAGACGTTACAAAATGTTCTACACATTGCATGCAGTTACATACTTCCACCAGAGAGGTCTCCAAATCCCCAAGTTATAAATAGTGTAGCTTTAAGGAAAATGTTTGAGGGAATCATGTATCAAATTTCACCATGATTCGATTCAATTTGATGGTCTTGGTATAATTCAGAATTATTTTTTTAAAATACACTGAATACACAAATGATGTAAAAAGTTATAATAAATTCTAACATCCACCTTCAGGCTGACTCACATCTAGCTATTGGTTCATGGTTTCATGATACACATCTAGCCACTGGCTCTGGTTACTATAACCTCTGGAATAAAAAATATAATATCAGCATTTCTTTATTTTGCGAGCTATATTACTATTAATGTATGGCGAAAGAGGTTTCAGAGTGTTAATATTGCTAAAATACTGAGCCTATTGTTTGAAGATATCAACAACAGTGCTCATTATCCCATTATTGCCCACAGACAAAAAGAAGAAAACGAATCCTCTCATTGTCTAAAACTTCATCACACAATAAGAGAAGATATTACGCCTACAGCATACTGATAGATCCTGTTCTTACATAATTATACCAAACATGGAAACCATTATGATACTATTTTCATTGTTTTTTGTCTAATTCACTTCCTGTAGCCTTAAAATTACCATGTACAAATAGGCCATTACACATTACCCTAAAATAGCTGAGGCAAAACTCAATATTGAGCTTTAATAAGTATAAAAATGTTAATCCATCACACTTCTTGTCTTTTACTACTCAAGCTAAATCACAGTGAAGAGAATTGCTGTTATATAACAGAGACATGTTGTGGAAAACCTGGCAACCCTTTGTTTAAAGCACTAAGCACAGGCACCAGGTGGCTTTACCTGAACAGTAAACTACCTGACAACCAGTTTTACCTGCTGCCCCCTTGCGTTCACTTATATTCAACAAGAGGCAAGAACAAAGAACTTCTGAGGAAAAGCCACAACCAAGAAGAACCGGCAATACAGACGAGAACATTACACTCAGGCAGAAACAGCATTACATCAGACTGACTGTACTTTTGTGACTAATGTGGGCCTCGTCTAGCTCTACTAGCTTTACTGAGTTACATTTCTGCTCATCAGCTGTGTGGATAGGCTTGTTTTCTTTACTGACAGATCTGAAACTGTAACCACTGAGAGGCTTCGCATTACAACCCTGCTCCTGGAACTGAGACAGTTTGGCCGTGAGGGATGTGAAATAAAGTCACAATTAAGCCTACACACTCCGGACATCGTTTGGAGGAAAGTGGGCTAGAGAAGTGCACACAAAATAACCCTCACAAAACTAGGCCACAAATCCTGGAGAGGGACAAAAACTTATTCTAACATCCATCAACATTTATACCTTCATAAAACAAACCTTCAAACTTAAATTCTGTATATTAAATAAGATTTAGAGAACAGGCCTGTGTGTGGCCTACGCAGACATTTTCTCCCTCATGAAGATGTAAACAGTAAGTCTCCAGAGGGTAAGAAGCCGATCACATGGTTCCATTTCACAAGTAAGTGGAGCTTTTGTGCAGCTCACAAAGAGCGCACTAATTCTGTTCTACTGAAGTGGATTAATTATAGGCTGAGCAGTTTTAACTATTATGTTCGGTGCTTGTTTTTTATTTGTTGTTGGTAACGTATAATGAATAGAGTACCCAGCAGAACAGAATCAGGCAAAAAGAACAGAACATAGAATAGGTTAACGTGTTAGTGTGGCCCTAAGGAGCAGAGTGGAAATTAGGAATAGAATTAACAGGACGGAATAGAGCATAACAGAGCGTAATAGAATAGAATAGAATAGAATAGAATAGAATAGAAAAACGTTAGTGAACCTCTAAAAATTAGAGTGAAAAAAATAAGAATAGAATAAAGTAGAACATGGTAGAATTTGACAAAATAGAATAGAATAGAATAGAATAGAATAGAAAAGAAAAACATGTTAGTTAACCTCTAAGAAGTAGAGGCAAAAATCTTGAAATCGAATACAGCAGAACACGGTGCAATTTGATAGAATAGAATAGAATAGAATAAAAAAAACATATTAGTGTACCTCTAAGAAGTAGAGTGAAAAATGAGGAATAGAATAAAGTAGAACATGGTAGAAAAGGATAGAATAGAATAGAATAGAATAGAATAGAATAGAACAGAATAGAATAGAATTGAACAACATTAGTGAACCTCTAAGAAGTAGAGTGAAAAATGAGGAATAGAATAAAGTAGAACATGGTAGAAAAGGATAGAATAGAATAGAATAGAATAGAATAGAATAGAACAGAATAGAATAGAATTGAACAACATTAGTGAACCTCTAAGAAGTAGAGTGAAAAATGAGGAATAGAATAGAATAGAATAGAATAGAATAGAATAGAATAGAATAGAATAGAACTAGTTCCACTTTGGTAAACTTCATATTAATCTCCCTGTACGAAGCAGACAAAAACAAACTCAAAAAGCTGGTCAACCACATCTAATAGAGACCGTGAGAGCAACTTACCTTTAAAAAGAACGTGAACGTTGTTGTCCTCGATGTTAAAAAGTCTCAAATGTGGCGTCTTTTCCTTCCCTTGGTCGCTAAACCCCTTTCCAAATCTGTCCAGCTCTAACCGCGGTCAGCCATCGGCTCTCATGTCCGTTCCAGAGATCCAGAGAAACTGCAGAGCCGCTGTGTGCGGCGTACATATCCCCCCAATTACATCCCCTCAGCACTCGAGGGCCAATCAGCTGGCAGCAGAGGCTTTCTGGGAGTTGTATTTCTGTGAGGACCGTTTCACAGGCAGTCAACGCGCTTTGAACTACACTTCCCAGTGTACCTCGGGGTGCCACATGGCAGGCAATTGTTTACAAACATTTCAACGGCTGAAGAGACTGAGAAAGTTAGAATATTAATAAAAGTCAATGTATATTTGTGTCGTTAGCGCTACTAAAAGTATTATTAATATCTTGAGAGGTGTAAAGTCGAGTTATTTCGAAATTTATTTCGAAATTAATTAATCTAACTTCTCTAACACGGTCGTGCTGATTTATTCAGGGAGTTGGCGAATGGGACTTTTTTATGGCAGGTGTATTTTATCCACTCCATCCAGTGGTTATGAGTTGAGTTACGAGAGTGAAAACCTTTTTGTTCGTGATCCGCAAGTGTGACCCACTATTGCCCAACAAAAACATTCCCTAAAGCCTCGTCTCGTTGTTCTCCCGGGACAGGTGTTCCGTTTACAACATGACAATCACGCTCAGTCTGAGCCTTATTTCACTGAAAAGTCCTCCAAATCCAATTCCAGGAAACAGGAAGAAAAACAAGGCTCTTTTTCTTTTGTGTCAGCTTAAGGCTCGAGGGCACACTTCTTCTACGAAGTTCAGCAACAACTTCAAGGAAAAGAAAGAAAAAAAAAAGGGAGAAAGTAATGCAGCCGAGCTGGAGACACGCTGCGACAGACTGCCTGCAGAACCTGAACTTCTGAGATGTTTTATTTTGGTGGGTAACGGTGTTATTTGGTGAAACATCTCCTCTCACAGCTCATCTGTCGTGGTAAACAAAAAAAATTAATTGTGATTTGTGACACATTAATAATTACACATCTGACATTTCTGTAATGGACCAACACTCCCCTCTGGTGGAGCGTCAGCTGATGGGAAAACCACTCTGAACCATGAATGGACAGACCCAGCGGTCACAGAGTAAGCATCAGATGGATGAATGGATGGATGGATAGATAGATGGGCAGGCAGACAGACAAATAGAGAGAAAGACAGAGAGACAGACAGATATAGATAGATAGATAGATAGATAGATAGATAGATAGATAGATAGATAGATGGGCAGGCAGACAGACAGATAGAGAGAAAGACAGACAGACAGACAGATAGATAGATAGATAGATAGACAGACTGACAGATAGATAGACAGACAGATAGATAGATAGACAGACAGACAGACAGATAGATAGATAGATGGGCAGGCGGACAGACAGACAGATAGACAGACAGATAGATAGATGATAGACAGACAGACAGACAGATAGATGGGCAGGCGGACAGACAGACAGACAGACAGATAGATAGATAGATAGACAGACAGACAGACAGACAGACAGACAGACATATAGATAGATCGACAGACAGACAGATATACAGTGTTCTATATAGTGCTGTTTATACTGATTCTCACTTTCCCACTTTGTGCTAATGTGTTTCAGGAAACCCAGCCCTGCTCACTAACTGTAACTGAGTTGTTGTGGATGTGTTAAAGCAGGGAGACTGTGTGTGCGGGGCAGTGCAGGAGTTAGGAAACTCTAGCTTATAGCATTTACTCTCCAAAAGCGCAAGCCACATATTCTAATGGAATCAGGGTCGCTTCTTTTCTGGGGAAAGCCTGAGCCACATAGCACTATTGGAGGACCATGAACATTACTACATTATATCAACGTGAAGAAGACGTCCTCCCTCCTCCAACTAACTTTACATTTATGTGCTAGGTGACTTTTTGCTATAAGATAATATCTAAACTGCGCTCAGAGAAGGTTATACAAAGATTTTCATTCCATTGTCAAGAACTCTGTGATGAACCCATCCAAGACCTTTAAAACATTGCCAGCCAATTTAAGTTCAGAGGATATGATAGACAGTTTGAGGGGAAGGCATATTCATGATACAAAAGACATATCAAAATATTTTGATTTTTCAATATTTATTTTTGTGAACAGGCTGGAAAAAATGAACAAAATGACATCCAAGCAGTTATTTGTTACTGCAGTTTATGCAGTTATTATACACTGGTTATTGTTTACAGGCTCTTCATAATTAGTCAAAATCTGTTTTATGATAAATGCAGTTGTTCAGTGATCTAAACTACTGACCACACGACCCACGAGACACTCAGATAAGTGTATCATAATGTAATTCATCATAATAATGATAATACATATTACCCACCTTACAGTCAGTACAGTTTAGTGAAGAGAAGCCTTGTTTTGATTTTACTGTATACAAACGGTAGCTTTGCTACAGACAGATGGACGGACGGACAGATAGATAGACAGATGGACAGACAGATAGATAGATAGATAGACGGACAGACAGATAGACAGGCAGACATGGATGGATGGATGGATGGACGGACAGACAGACATAGATAGACAGACAGACTGACAGATAGATAGATAGATAGATAGATAGATAGATAGATAGATAGATAATAGACAGGCAGACAGACAGACACATACAGTTTTATCAGATGGTTAATATAAGAGACCCTCACTGAGGGCATATCAGCATTTGTTTTACATTTCGATGGCTCATTTTTTCATTTTTCGATACTGAATTGAAATCCACACCCTTACTGACCCAACGTCCGTCTGCCCTGTGTACTTTCCTCTGTATCACCCTGTCTCCCCACCCGGTGACTACCCCCGACGCATCCCGCTTTCTGCTGCCCAAAGCACATTCCCACTGCGGGTGTCAGTCTCTCCAGCATCAGCAGCACAAACACTGAGCTTAGGCCCACGGCGGGACAGCTAAGCCCTACCCGTCTGTCAAAGCACAGTGGGGACATAAACAACCCCAACACGCACAGAAGCCAAGAGCAATCCCCACACCACCATAACACAGTGCAGAGAGGTGCTCCATCCTACAGTGTACAGCCACTGCTCCATCAACTCAACCGTGAAGCTGATTTACACGCTGTTTCACCGTTTGACCACAAGGTGCCAGCAGAGAGACATTTTCATACCACATATAGCTTTACAGACTTAAATAAACACGAATTCGAGCCAATAAAGGTGTCTAAACACTTTTGTAACGTATAAAACGTGCAGAAAAAACAATAATAGTCTGTAAAAAGGTTAAGCCTATAGAGTCTCCATCACTCTATATGTCACTGAACACGACAATTTGACAGAAGTCTCTTAAAGTAGGCAATCTTTGACATATGAAGACATTTTATCATCAACATTCGGTTAAGAAAACAATAAAAAAAATAAAGTAGGCCTAAATTCTTATTCAAATTTTCCGTTCCACCTTAAATGTTGGCGACAGAATGTAACTGCTGCACCATTCAAGGCAGAGCAGAACATTTTCGGTTCCACCTTAAATAGCGAAGCGCCATTTAAGCTGCAGCACCATTTAAGGTGGAGCGGAAATGTTCCGTTCCACCTTAAATGGTGTAGCAGTTAAGGTGGAACGGGAAATTCGAAACAGAAGCCAAGTTGAGGCTGGTGATTGGAGTGCAGCTGATGAGGGACCGGGCTAACGTTGCACGTTTTCTCGCGAGAATACGCAGGCTGGGCTCAGGCAGGCAGGCAGGCAGGGCGGGTTGGAGGAGCCGAAACGTAGCGGTGCAATCGGAGCCTGTAACGGGGCACCATCCCACACTCCGTCCCGTCTCCCGTTTTGCTTCTGGAAGAGAAGAGAATCCTCCCCTGCGTAAGGACTATGCTTCCCCATCGCGCCCCGCCTGCTTAAGCAGCACTACCGTTATATTCCTCCTCCTCCTGTCGGGCTGGGGCGCAGGGCTTCTCCAGCGCCACTCTTCTCCCCTGAAGTAGAGGATTTCCCCCCTTTCTCTCTCTTCTCCTGCACTTATCAGTCTCCTGGAGGACCAGGCTGCGTGAACAAGTTTATAAATGGGTGAGTAGCGCAGCGTCTACGCGTTTCATTACTCAGCTGAGCAACTCCAGAGCTCAACTGCACTGTGTTCTTTAGTTTTAAGTCTATTTATATTGACTTGTGCTGTAAGGACGCTTTATTTCGTGTCCTATAGCTACATTTCTGCCCACATCTTCTCTACCAACCTTGTTTCCAAAGTTGAGCAGGCTGGATTCAAGATGTGGACACGTTTACATCTTTTTCCCCCTCCATAAAGATCTTAAAGAGTTAACTCCAGCTGAATTTCATTCCCCAGTCTGGCTTCCAGCTCCCATCCAGCTGGCCTGAATGTGGAATCTTCTGCAGTTTCATGAGGATATAGAGGAAGTAGCGTATGTGTACTGGTCTATCACTCACTCAGGGCCTGGAACTTGTGCTTTTCTACTTCTTGTCTGGGTTGAAAGTGAGCAGATCTGCTCTGTAGGTTTGGACTATTAGCTGATGCTGTGCCTCCTCTCTATCCCTGCCTGAACAGATGGTGAATGGGGTGCAAACTGATAGGATAGATACAGGTATAATGGTTCTTTGGGTCATGTGGTACAATGTGCTTTAGGTCCTGAATGACAAAGCTGTTTATTTCTTCAGTTTCTCTTTGAAACTGACTACTGGAATTGAATTAGCCTGCTTAGAAGATCTCGTTTTGCTCTGAAATTGGATCAGATGAGAGTTTTTAAGACGTGAACTCTGCACATTTTTAAAAAAGTTCTCTATAATTTAATGCTTGAGATGTAAATAAAGTCAATCGGAGTGGTTTGATGTGAAATCGTTAGTTGTAGAGACTCATATCTGTGCAATAGTGGTGATGGGAACCAGGGGTCACCATGCATACAACACAAATATAGCCATTTTATAATACTCTTCTGAGTTTTTGTGACGTTCTTAATGGTAAAATAGTGTTAAATCTGAAAAAATATGTTTTCTTAAGGCGACAGTTTTGCCTTACAACGGCCTGCATGTGTGCAAAACTGTCTAACCATCAAAACTATCATAAAACAAAGGAATATCGTCAAGCAGCGTATTCATAATCATCTCATGCAGTCACTTTCTGTGAGGGAGCTTTTAGAAGCGTTAAACCTGTTTTCGGACGTCTGGTTCCATTCACCACCACTGTGAACAATTATGAAGTTTCTCTAAAATGGAATATATCACATCAAACCATTCCGATTGTCTTTGTTTACAACAACTTTTTAATTAGAGGTGGGTAATATGGCAAAATGTAATATCAATACTTCAGAAAGTTTTTTACAACACATTTTTTCTGATATCTGATGAGTTAGAACAGACAAAGTAGGGCCACATTTTAAAAATGCTATCAAAAACTACTTCCATTCAACATTTCGCACACTGTACTGCACTAAATCAAATTAAACAGGACTAATTATGCTCTCTTTTTTAATTAAACATGCTATTGGGGCTTGATTTATAATTACTGATGTAATTATAACGTATTACTGATGTCCACGATATACTCAGAAAAGCATGTTGTGACATATTGTGATGTCATTTATGACTACAGCGATAAATATTGTCATATTGCCCAGATTTGTATTTAATTGTGCAGTAATTTTGAGAAATTGGTGTAATTCCCCTTCAAGTGTCCCCTGTTATTTGAGGCCCATAACGCCTAAAAACCCTCAGGGCTGTACAGTATCGCTGTATGATTCACCAGGATGTACCTGAAGGCAGCTGTTTTGCAGATCGCTAGAAATGCTACCACGTATTTTAAGCCTGAATGATGGAAATTAAACAAATTGTTATCATATACAGAATTAGTGCGATAAATGATGTCACCATGATTCAGATTAAGCTGAGAAGTGCCACATGGGAGGCTGACAGAGCCTTACATCATGGCTTGGATTTTCCTTGATGGTATTATAGTAACGATGAAACCAACTGGGCTTTTCTAATATTACTTAATAGATCGTAAGGATAACTATATTTTGCACAGACGACACAGTTAATATCTAGTGGTTCTCCACATTTGTTTGATTGGAAACCAAAATATTACCGAACTGGCACGTTTCCAGGCTCCTTCAGAACAAGCTCGTCCATTTTACTGTCTGCTGGAGATCTAAGAGAGGTTTTTTGTTTCATGTTTATGTACAGCAGCATTCAGAACCAGACTGGAAATCCATGTTATAATCATTCCAAGTGGCATTCAAAGTATGCATGTAGGTAGTTAATTAGTTGGTGCTGTTTTTTTTCTTCATATAGACTATAATGAACCGCAGTCTTTTCTGTTGTATAACTGTAGGAAGAAAACATTGTATCTCCATTTTTGTCATTTTTCAGTTTTTGACATAATTTGAAAATGCCTGTTACCCTTTGCAATGTGTGTAAATTTAATGAAGAATGGCCCAAAATGACTTGGAAAAAAGTCTGGTTCCATTGACTTAAAAGTAAAGCAGGTTTTTTCCTTTTCCTGTAAAGTTACCATTTTGGAGATGCGAGGTTTTCTTCCAACAACAGTGATAACGTTTTGAACTAGCAGTAGAAAAAGGTAGGGCTGAACACTTTTGGGAAGTCTCTAATACTCATTTTTCTGACCAATATTGTGACTTTGTGCGATTTAAATTGCATTTATTTTTCTATTTATTTCTTTCTTTTTTTTTGTTGTTGTTGTTGTTTTTTTTTGCCTGGAGCACCAGCATATCACTGCTGTCGAAACAAAACATTTTTCAGTTTTTCCTCTAATTAAGTGGTGGTGCCAGAATGTGCTGCAGAACTGCTGCACCATTTAAGATGCAGAAAGATTTCCATCCCACCTTAAATGGTGGAGCACCATTCAAGCTGCTGCACCCATAATAAAAATGCCTGTTGCCCTTTTCATTGTGTGTAAATTTTATGAACAATAGACTAAAATAAATGAACCTACATGATTTGGAAAAAAGTCCGGTTCCATTGACTTACATTAAAAGTAACGTATGTTTTTTCCTTCTCCTGTAAAGATACCGTTTTGGAGATACGAGGTTTTGTTCCGACCGCAGCGATGTGCACTTTTTCTAGCTCGAGTCTTGAAAACTGAACAAGGTGCACAAAACCGCAAGTTAGTTGCAGTTGTAGTGATAGTAGGTGTCGTCACGTGGCTGCTTCTGATTGGTCTAAATCATCTGCAAGCACTTCTAAGTTTCAAGTTTCCACTTAAAAGTTGTTCAGACAGCCTTGTTGATAAAGTACACACTTAAAAACGACGGTCCTTCAAGGGTTCTTCACAAAAGAAAATGGTTCTATAAAGAACCATAAACACTTTGCATGATTAAAGGGTTCTTTGCATCATGAAAGGGTTCTTCAGATTGATGGAGAATGTGGTGTATATGGTTCTTATGGAACCATTTGGAAAAGGGTTCTAAAGAGCATCAGAAAGACTTCTTCTATTGTTACAAGCTTGACAACATAACAGTAACAGAACCCTTTTCGGTGCAACATAGAACCCTTTTCAAAATGGTTCTATATAGAACCATCTACAACACATTCTCCATCAATCTGAAGAACCATTTTATGATGCAAAGTCCCCTTGAATCATGAAAAGGGTTATTTGAGTGTTCATGGTTCTTTTTAGAACCATTTTCTTATCTAAAGAACCCTTGAAGAACCATCATTTTTAAGAGTGTTGGCTAGAAATAAATTACAGATCTTGTGATTTGAAAATTGGCCTTTTTTTGACTGAGATTTCAGTATAAAAATGATCTTTAACTTTAGTACGCAGTGACTGGTTCAATCAAAAGGGAAAGGAAAAACGTGGTGAGCGAAAGAATAAAAGAACGATCATTTGCATAATGTCAGCACTTATTTAAATTATCATGATAATATCAGTTATCAGCCCAAGGCTAACTGCTACTAGATGGCTTTCAGGCCACAAGGTAAAGTTTGTTTGAGCTGAAGCATCGTTTACAGCGTTGCAGGCTTAATGACATTTTTATGGCATTTTTGTGAAATACACCATACGTCTATGCGTTGGACAAGTCTGTGACTTTATAATGAAAAATATCTCTAACTGCAGCTCCTGTAGTCTTGTTTAGTGAGTGAATTCAGGGCCTGTGGCTCATGGAATGATTTGTTTCACCTAAAATGAGATTTTCTCCCACATGTTAAAACATAGGTACCATAACAATGAAAAGCCTCCATAAGGCTGACCATAAGTTACATATCGGTGCATATGCTGAGGAATTATCACCACAATCCTCTTAAAGTCTGCGTCGTGCATGTGTCCCCCTGTCCCGGGCCTGTCTACATGGAGTTAATCTCCCCACAATGTGGAAGTGAGATAATAGAAGGACTGGTTTTAGTATCCATTCAAATAGATTACATTACATCGGTTTTGTGTGTGGAAACCTGTTTTAAAGCACCAGCAGACCCAGTTTCACAAACTCATAACCTCTTTGACCAATAGAAATGGTCCAAAATGACTTAGAACTAGAATTTTGTCATAGGTTGTCAAGCGAGTCAACTTTTAAAAACCTGTTTTGTGTTTTAAATGCTAATTTTATTGTGGTATTTGGACAGTTTTTTGTCTGCTTTATCTCAGCAGGGCCTGTCATCCCTAATTGCTCGCTAGCAGCTCAACACAGACTCACAACGTTTCACACACAGAGAGACATCACTGTGTGTTTACATGCACTTCATAATCTGATAACTGTAGAACCACAAATCAGGCACTTGAGTAATCAGATAACGGGGAAACTCCGGGTCTACATGCGTCAGGCAGTAATCAGATTTCTGCTTTGCAACCAGCCAATAAACTCGCAGAAGAAGCCGTGACGTAAAACATAATGTAAAACTCAAACTTCATGCCGCGGCCTTTTTTAAAACAAAAGATGATATTTAAATCCTTCATTGATCGGATTATCGAGTGCAGGTAAACGCAATCACTGTTTTAGTTAATCTGATAGCAGAGTTACAGGGAAAGATATTTAAATGGGTTACATTAATGAAAAACGCTTCCATTCTTAAACTCGTTCTTACTATTGTCTAGACATTAGAAA